ACCAGGACTAAATCAGGACTAAATCAGGTCTAAACCAGGTCTAAACCAGGACTAAACCAGGACTAAACCAGGTCTAAACCAGGTCTAAACCAGGACTAAACCAGGACTAAACCAGGACTAAACCAGGTCTAAACCAGGTCTAAACCAGGTCTAAACCAGGACTAAACCAGGACTAAACCAGGTCTAAACCAGGACTAAAACCAGGTCTAAACCAGGACTAAACCAGGTCTAAACCAGGTCTAAATCAGGTCTAAACCAGGTCTAAATCAGGTCTAAACCAGGTCTAAACCAGGACTAGACCGGGTCTGACCGTGTGGCTGCGATGACGGCGTCTGATTCGCTGCAGACCAGGAAGTGTTTGATGAGGCGTTTGGAGAGAAACAAAACTCCAGGAAAAAACACGGAACCTCCCACGAGCAGCGCACCTGGCCCTGCACCTGCCACTGCACCTGCCGCCGCACCTGCCGCCGCACCAGCCACTACACCTGCCACTGCCGCTGCACCTGCACCCCCGAGCATCTGCAACACAGGGAGGGCATCTGACGTAAACAACAGGCAGTGTGTGTAAATGTGTGTGTGTAAATGTGTGTGTGTAAATGTGTGTGTGTAAATGTGTGTGTGTAAGTGTGTGTGTGTAAGTGTGTGTGTGTAAGTGTGTGTGTAAATGTGTGTGTAAATGTGTGTGTAAGTGTGTGTAAATGTGTGTGTAAGTGTGTGTAAATGTGTGTGTAAGTGTGTGTGTGTAAGTGTGTGTAAATGTGTGTGTAAGTGTGTGTGTAAAGGTGTGTGTAAATGTGTGTAAGTGTGTGTGTGTGTGTAAATGTGTGTGTAAGTGTGTGTGTGTGTGTGTGTAAATGTGTGTGTGTGTGTAAGTGTGTGTGTGTGTGTGTGTAAGTGTGTGTGTAAATGTGTGTGTAAATGTGTGTGTAAGTGCGTGTAAATGTGTGTGTAAATGTGTGTGTGTGTAAGTGTGTGTGTGTAAATGTGTGTGTAAATGTGTGTGTAAATGTGTGTGTAAATGTGTGTGTGTGTGTAAATGTGTGTAAATGTGTGTGTGTAAATGTGTGTAAATGTGTGTGTGTGTAAGTGCGTGTGTAAATGTGTGTGTTACTGTGTGTAAGTATGTGTGTAAATGTGTGTCTGTAAATGTGTGTGTAAATGTGTGTGTGTAAATGTGTATGTGTAAGTGTGTGTGTAAATGTGTGTGTAAGTGTGTGTAAATGTGTGTAAGTGTGTGTGTGTGTGTAAATGTGTGTGTAAATGTGTGTAAGTGTGTGTAAATGTGTGTGTAAGTGTGTGTGTGTGTAAATGTGTGTGTGTAAGTGTGTGTGTAAATGTGTGTGTAAATGTGTGTAAGTGTGTGTAAATGTGTGTGTAAGTGTGTCTGTGTAAATGTGTAAGTGTGTGTAAGTGTGTGTGTGTGTAAATGTGTGTGTAAGTGTGTGTGTGTAAATGTGTGTGTAAATGTGTGTGTAAGTGTGTGTAAATGTGTGTGTGTGTAAATGTGTGTGTAAGTGTGTGTGTGTGTAAGTGTGTGTAAATGTGTGTGTGTAAGTGTGTGTAAATGTGTGTGTGTGTAAATGTGTGTGTAATGTGTGTGTGTGTGTAAGTGTGTAAGTGTGTGTGTAAGTGTGTGTGTGTATGTGTGTGTGTGTGTGTGTAAATGTGTGTGTGTGTGTAAGTGTGTGTAAATGTGTGTGTGTGTAAATGTGTGTGTGTGTGTGTAAGTGTGTGTGTGTGTGTGTGTGTAAGTGTGTGTGTAAGTGTGTGTGTGTAAGTGTGTGTGTGTGTAGTGTGTGTGTGGTGTCAGTGTGGTCAGGAGGTGTGGGGTCAGGTTGGGTCAGGTTGGGGTCAGGAGGTTGGGGTCAGGAGGTTGGGGTCAGGAGGTTGGGGTCAGGAGGTCAGGAGGTCAGGAGGTCAGGAGGTCGGGGTCAGGAGGTTGGGGTCAGGAGGTCGGGGTCAGGAGGTTGGGGTCAGGAGGTCGGGGTCAGGAGGTCAGGAGGTTGGGGTCAGGAGGTTAGGGTCAGGAGGTTGGGGTCAGGAGGTCAGGAGGTTGGGGTCAGGAGGTCGGGGTCAGGAGGTTGGGGTCAGGAGGTTGGGGTCAGGAGGTCGGGGTCAGGAGGTTGGGGTCAGGAGGTTGGGGCAGGAGGTCAGGAGGTCAGGAGGTCAGGAGGTCAGGAGGTTGGCAGGAGGTCAGGAGGTTCAGGGGTCAGGAGGTTGGGGTCAGGAGGTTGGGTCAGGAGGTTGGGGTCAGGAGGTCGGTCAGGGTCAGGTCAGGAGGTTGGGTCAGGAGGTTGGGGTCAGGAGGTTGGGGTCAGGAGGTTGGGGTCAGGAGGTTGGGGTCAGGAGGTTGGGGTCAGGAGGTTGGGGTCAGGAGGTCAGGGGTTTCAGGAGTCAGGAGGTTCAGGAGGTCAGGAGGTTTAGGAGGTTGAGGAGTGTCAGGAGCTTCAGTCACTTCCTCCGTGTCCCGTCACATTTACAAAACTATGCAATAATTCAACATTCACACTAGTCAAAATCTCACAATTCCTACAGTAATTGGAACTACAGAATGAACGTAACTAAAATCTACTGTAATTAAGTAAGTAACTCTCCGTTTCCCTCCAAATCACTAAATCACTTCAGGTCTTCATCCTCGTGTCACTTCTGAACAACTCGACCTCGACGTCCGGAGGGAAACGGAGCCACACAAACTCTTCTGCGTCGTCGTCCTCAGACTCAGCATCAGTTCGTTAGGGGTGTGCAAAAATATCGATATATCGTATGGTTTAATGTGATGATACAGTATCGATATCGTGGGCTGCTGTATCGATATATCACCCAGAGTAGTTTTTGGTTTGTTTTACTAAATTATTATGATACAGCTCTACGTTTTTGTTGTTTCGATTCTCTCAGAGTTTCAGGAGAGTCCGACTTTGTGTGTGATTTCGTTTTTTTCAATAACTAGATTTACAAATGATGAAATGTTGATATATTTTAAAATATTTAGAATAGTTGATTTATTTTGTAGTCACAAATATAAAACATGTTGTAATAGCGGCGCGTCTGAATAGAGACGGCGCTTTTTGTCACAAAGATATTTTACAGAACATTATTCAGCATTATTCATTCACTCTACACCTGCTGATGTAAACTACTGTTGTAGCCACAGCTGCCCTGGGGCAGACTGACAGAAGCACGGCTGCCATGTCAATCGGCGCCATCGGTCCCTCCGAACACCACCATCACTCACACACACACCACTTTCATACGAGGCGATGTGTGTGAAGTGTCTTGCCCAAGGACACAATGATTGAATTGATTGTGTTTAAGTGTCTTTGACTCTCAACTGTTCTGGACCTGGAGCAGGTTTTGTGTTGATGGAGGAAACCGGAGGAAACTCATCCAGACACGAAGAGAAACACAAACTCCACACAGAAAGACCCGGGTCACCCGGGGATCCAACCCACAACCTTCTTGCTGTGAGGCATGAGTGCGAAACAAAAACAGAGTAAATAGAGACATGTCATAATACCGGACGGATGTCGTAATACCAGGCAGGTCTAAACCAGGACTAAACAAGGTCTAACCCAGGTCTAAACCAGGTCTAAACCCAGGTTTAAACCAGGTTTAAACCAGGTCTGAAAACCCGATCTAAACCTGATCTGTAGCTTCTGGTTCTTAACCGAGGACTTTTCGATCCTTTCGTGCAGATGTTTGTTCTGATTGTTTAAGTTTGGAACCTCTTGATCAGTTCCTTTACACAATTTAAGTTTCGGTTCCTCTCGTCTTGTTGCTGGTTCTTATGTTCTAAGTTCTGGATCCTCTCGTGCAGTTCCTGGTTCTCAGCCTCTAAGATTTGGCGCTTGACCTTAGGTCGGGATTTTCTAAAAAAAAACAGGGCATTTTTTCTGTTTAAATATGCAGTAAAGAGAGAAAAGCTCGAGTGTAAACGTGCAGTAGTAGCTCTAGTAGCAGTACACGCAGTAGTCGTAGTAGACGCAGTAGTCGTAGTAGACGCAGTAGTCGTAGTAGACGCAGTAGTCGTAGTAGACGCAGTAGTCGTAGTAGACGCAGTAGTCGTAGTAGACGCAGTAGTCGTAGTAGACGCAGTAGTCGTAGTAGACGCAGTAGTCGTAGTAGTCGTACGTAGTACACGCAGTAGTCACGCAGTAGTCGTAGTAGACGCAGTAGTCGTAGTAGACGCAGTAGTCGTAGTAGACGCAGTAGTCGTAGTACGCAGTAGTCGTAGTAGACGCAGTAGAAGTGGCAGTATTCTGTGTCTGTAGTGTTTGTTTCGTGTTACTTACGCCGCACAGTAAACTACGGAAGGAGACGAGGTCCACGGGTTCTCAGGTTGATGACGATGATGAAGGTGTGTGTTTGTGTGTGTGTGTGTGTGTGTAAATGTGTGTGTGTGTAAGTGTGTGTAAATGTGTGTGTAAGTGTGTGTAAATGTGTGTGTAAGTGTGTGTGTGTAAATGTGTGTGTAAGTGTGTGTGTGTAAGTGTGTGTAAGTGTGTGTGTGTAAATGTGTGTGTAAATGTGTGTGTGTGTAAGTGTGTGTAAGTGTGTGTGTGTAAATGTGTGTGTGTAAGTGTGTGTAAGTGTGTGTGTAAATGTAAAAAGCTGTATTAGGCCCAGCACAGATCTCTAGATGACTCAGACATGCATGGATTTTAAAAACTTTTTAAAACTGTTTAACAGAAACTGAATCGTCCAATCAGAGCGCTCCGTCAGGTTCAGAGGGCGTTACCGTGACGACAGAGGCGGAGTTTAGCTCCACTGAAAAAAACACTCAACTTTTATATCAAGAAAAATAAAAGTAGAATATAAATATTTAAATATAAAAAGAAAATATAAATAAATATAATGTCATAAGAATAAATAGTTAAATATAAGAAGAATATAACATAAATCGATTAATAAAATAAATGTTATAATATTTATAATCTCTCTCTCATTTAATGTCTCTCTTTTTAATTTTATGGTTATTTATGATTTGATTTGTTCGTTTTGTGATTTTAATGTTTTTCTTTTCTTTTTTTTTTTAATGTTTTTTCTTTTTCTGTAAAACTCTTTGACTTTGTGTAAAAATGTTGTTGTACAAATAAACTCGACTTTAGCCTGAGAACGAATGAACATAATGGAATAAAAACATAAAAATACATCAATATAATAAAGTTTTATAAATATTATATAATTAGAAATATCATAAAATTTGAAAAAATTTAATTAAAAAAAATACTACTACTACTACTACTACTACTACTACTACTACTACAAATACTACTACTACTACTACTACTACTACTACTACTACTACTACTACTACTACTACTACTACTACTACTACTACTACTACTACTACTACTACTACTACTACTACTACTACTACTACTACTACTACTACTACTACTACTACTACTACTACTACTACTACAATACTACTACTACTACTACTACTACTACTACAATACTACTACTACTACTACTACTACTACTACTACTACTACTACTACTACTACTACTACTACTACTACTACTACTACTACAATACTACTACTACTACTTGAAGCTCACGGAATAAACCAGGTCCACTACAAAACAACAAACAACTAAAGCCACGGACAGGAAGTACCAAAGCTCACAAGGTCCAAGGTCCAAAAGAAGGTCCAAGGAAATCAAAAAGACCAAAATCAAATCCAAAAACTGACAAAAAGAAGAATAAAAGGAAACCAAAAAAAAAACCAAAACTGAAAAACCAAAAAACCAGGACCTAAACCAGGACTAAACCAGGACTAAACCAGAACCAGACTAGAAAACCTAAACCAGGACCCAGGACTAAACCAGACCAGCTAAACAGACTAAAGCCAGACCAGACTAAACCAGACCAGGACTAAACCAGGACTAAACCAGGAACTAAACCAGACCAGAACTAAACCAGAAAACCAGGACCCAGGACTAAACCAGGACTAAACCAGGACTAAACCAGGACTAAACCAGGACTAAACCAGAACCAGACCAGGACTAAACCAGGACTAAACCAGGACTAAACCAGGACTAAACCAGAACCAGACCAGGACTAAACCAGGACTAAACCAGGACTAAACCAGGACTAAACCAGGACTAAACCAGACCAGGACTAAACCAGGACTAAACCAGGACTAAACCAGGACTAAACCAGGACTAAACCAGGACTAAACCAGAACCCAGGACTAAACCAGGACTAAACCAGACCAGGACTAAACCAGGACTAAACCAGAACCAGACCAGGACTAAACCAGGACTAAACCAGGACTAAACCAGGACTAAACCAGGACTAAACCAGGACTAAACCAGACCAGGACTAAACCAGGACTAAACCAGGACTAAACCAGGACTAAACCAGACCCAGACTAAACCAGGACTAAACCAGACTAAACCAGACCCAGGACTAAACCAGGACTAAACCAGACCAGGACTAAACCATAAACCAGACCAGGACTAACAGGACTAAACCAGACCAGACCAGGACTAAACCAGGACTAAACCAGGACTAAACCAGGACTAAACCAGGACTAAACCAGAACCTAAACCAGGACTAAACCAGGAACTAAACAGGACTAAACCAGACTAAACAGACCAGGACTAAACCAGACTAAACCAGGACTAAACCAGACCAGGACTAAACCAGGACTAAACCAGACCAGACCAGACTAAACCAGGACTAAACCAGAAACCTAAACCAGGACTAAACAGACCAGACTAAACCAGGACTAAACCAGGACTAAACCAGACCAGACTAAAACCAGGACTAAACCAGGACTAAACCAGGACCAGGACTAAACCAGGACTAAACCAGACTAAACCAGACTAAACCAGGACTAAACCAGGACTAAACCAGGACTAAACCAGACCAGACAGGACCAGGACTAAACCAGGACTAAACCAGGACTAAACCAGGACTAAACCAGGACTAAACCAGGACTAAACCAGAACTAAACCAGGACTAAACCAGGACTAAACCAGGACTAAACCAGGACTAAACCAGGACTAAACCAGGACTAAACCAGACTAAACCAGGACTAAACCAGACTAAACCAGGACTAAACCAGGACTAAACCAGGACTAAACCAGACCAGGACTAAACCAGGACTAAACCAGGACTAAACCAGACCAGACTAAACAGACTAAACCAGGAAAACCAGGACTAAACCAGACCAAAGACTAACCAGGACTAAACCAGGACTAAACCAGGACTAAACCAGACTAAACCAGACCAGGACTAAACCAGACAAACCAGACTAAACCAGGACTAAACCAGGGACTAAACCAGGAAACTAAACCAGGACTAAACCAGAACTAAACCAGAACCAGACCAGGGCTAAACCAGGACTAAACCAGGTCTAAACCAGGTCTAAACCAGGACTAAACCAGGTCTAAACCAGGACTAAACCAGGACTAAACCAGAACCAGACCAGGACTAAACCAGACCAGGACTAAACCAAACCAGGACTAAACCAAACCAGGACTAAACCAGGACTAAACCAGACCAGGACTAAACCAGAACCAGACCAGGACTAAACCAGGACTAAACCAGACCAAGTCTAAACCAGGTCTAAACCAGGACTAAACCAGAACTAAACCAGAACCAGACCAGGGCTAAACCAGGACTAAACCAGGTCTAAACCAGGACTAAACCAGGACTAGATCAGGTCTTTTCACACATGAGTCTGGGTCGTTTCAGTCCAGTGTTTGTTTATTTCAGTTTCTACTTTTGTCTAAAGTTTAAACAGTTTAAGAAATTCAAGTATCTCAAAAGTCCAACACGACTGGACCCAAAGGACAACACGGCCACGGACCGGGACCGGGACCAGGACCAGGACCAGGACCCAGACACCGGGACCTGGACCAGGACCAGGACCGGGACCCAGACACCAGGACCGGGGTCTGGACCAGGTCTGAACCTGAACCAGGACCAGCACCCAGACACCAGGACCGGGACCCAGACACTAGGACTGGGACCAGGACCGGCCAGGCCCAGGACCGGGACCAGGACCTAGACCCGGATCCAGACACCAGGACTGGACTGGGACCAGGACCCGGACCCAGACACAGGACCGTGTCAGGACCGGGTCTGGACTGAGGTCAGGACCGGGTCAGGACCAGGTTCTGGACCGGGGTCGGTCCCAAACCTGTTCCGGGCAGGAAACAGGCGCCGGGCTCCGTCTCCGTGGAAACGTGTTAAACCACATGCACATTTACACACAGCGCCCCCTGGAGGTCTGGACTCAAGTCACGTCCCACCGACCAAAACAAAACCAAAAAAACAAAAAAAACAAAAAAAACAAAAAAAAAAAAAAAAAAAAACAAAACAAACACGAGGCTGCGTCGGAAAAACCTCCGGGTCAAAACAAACTCTCTTTTTACACCCAAATATTTAACTGTTTTTATTTATTTAATCTGTTTTCAGTTTCTGTGACATCATCAGGTGGAACTCCAGAAGTGCTTTAAATCTCAGCTGTTTTTTTTTTTGTTTTTTGTTTTTTTACACAATTAAAACAGAATTATTATTATTATTTTTTTTTTATTAAATTGGTCTTTTTTTTTTGCATTCAAACATTTCAAACATGCTTCTTTTTTGACTCAGATTCATCTGGTTTTGGTTTCAGGATACAGACGCTTCTTCATATTTTCGTCTTTTTTACTTATTTTGTTGTAAATATATTAAAAGTTCCAGTGGGTTTAAGACGTTTTCAAACAGATAAAAGTGCTCAGTTCTTTTATAAAAACATGCACGGACTCGTCTCCTGCTCGTCTGAACCTCCAGTGGAGTTTGGAGCTGGAGCCCAGACCCTGAGTCGAGACGCGGCGCCGACTCAAGCCGCTTCTCGGGGTTTTTCTCGAGTGTTTTTGGCGGCGGCGTTTGAGTCCAGACCTCAGAAAAACCTCGAGGTAAAACGGTCCAAAACTAAAACCAGAAATAAAAACAGGAACTTTTCTAAAAAACACCAAAAAAAAGACAAAACGACAAAACGATAAACTTTCCTCAGTCACACAATAAATAAAACTAACACTGAACACGACCAAGACCAAGACCAAGACCAGGACCAGGACCAGGACCAGGACCAGGACCAAGAACGAACCAAGACTGGACCAGGTATAAACATGGACTAGGACAGGTACCAGACCAGGTCTAGAGGGACCAGGACTGGAACACGACTGGACCTGGTCCCTCTGTAGACCTGGGTTGGTTTGGATTGGTCCAGTCCTGGCCCAATCCTGGACCAGGACCGGGTCTACAGAGGGAGCAAGGACTAGAACAGGACTGGTCCAGGGACTAAAGTGGAGTTAGACCAGGGACCTGACCTGAGACTAGTCCAGTAGTCCAGTACTACACCAGATCTGGACCAGGACTAGACCGGATGTTCCTCTGCAACAGAAGAGAGAACAAAACTGGTCTGAACCAAGAACTGAACCAGGACTAGACCAGGTTTTCACAAGGATTAACCCTGGACGAAACCAGATACTAGTCCAGATCCCAGACTCCGGCCCAGACTCCGGCCCAGACTCCGGCCCAGACTCCGGCCCAGACTCCGGCCCAGACTCCGGCCCAGACTCCGGCCCAGACTCCGGCCCAGACTCCGGTCCAGACTCCGGTCCAGACTCCGGTCCAGACTCCGGCCCAGACTCCGGCCCAGACTCCGGTCCAGACTCCGGTCCAGACTCCGGTCCAGACTCCGGTCCAGACTCCGGTCCAGACTCTGGTCTCTTGACAGAAACAGTTTGATATTTGACACATTTTGGTGTTGCTCCAGAGGCCCGTCTGTCTGTCTGAGTGTTTTTCGTCTCTGGGGTCTGTGGTTTTGGCCTTTGTGTCTCTCAGTCTCCAAACACGAAAAAAACACGAAAAACTGAAACAAAACTTGACACAAACTCAACAAATCGACAAAATTGAGTGAAAACTGTGAGAGACGAGGGAACGGAGCAGGAAGCGTGAGGCTGCTACATGTGGACTTCATCAAACATGATTCTGCAGAGTTCGGACACAGTGAAATCTGAGTCGAGGAAAAACCTTGGCGAAAAAACGTTTGGGTCCTGAAGAACCGACCCGCCGACCCGCCGACCCGCCGACCCGCCGCGTCCGCACCAAAGAGTCGGGAGACGGGATCATCGGGTTTATGGCAGTAAAATCAGTCACATGTGGGAAATATGGCACATCTGAGCTGAAAGAGCCCGGGTCACTTCTCTCAAACACCTCACACTTTTATTTATGTCTTTATTTATTTCTCTGTGTTCCTTTTTACTGGTTTGAAGACGCTGGGTTCTCTTCCTCCTTTTGCTCCCAGCGCTAAGTCACCCCCCCTTCAGAGGAGCGACGTGGGAGAAAGAAAAAAAAACAAAAACACAAACCCCGACTTTAACGAAGAGTCTGGAGTGGAGGAAATGGCTTTGGTGCGAGACTTTTGAAAAGGATTCGATTGCGTGTCGTCCGTTTGTGAGGTCGGGTCGGAGGTTTTTCGGGGTCGGAGGTTTTTCGGGGTCGGAGGTTTTTCGGGGTCGGAGGTTTCAGGTCTGAGGTTTCGGGTCGGAGGTTTTTGGAGGAGGAGTATTGCACAAAACTGGAATGACGTCAAAACTAAAATCTACCAAAAAAAACAAACTCCTTAAAATATTTTTTACAGCGAAAACGTCAACGAGGTCTGTACCAAGACTTTAAACGAGCAGCAACTTCTGTACAACAGCACCAGGAGTCCAGACCAGGACCAGGACCGGGACCAGGACCGGGACCAGGACGAGTCTGAACTTCGTCTGAACCAAATCCTGGCCTGGACTTTCCTCTCTCTGGCTCTGGACAAAACCAGGTTTAAACCAGGTCTAAACTGGGACTAAACTGGGACTAAACCAGGTCTTAATGGGGTCTGGGGCCAGACTAAATCGGGTCTAAAACCAGACAGAAACCAGAACCATGGAAAGACCAGGACTAAACCCGGTCTAACAGCAGTTATGAACCAGGAGCAGGACTAAACCAGGACTAAACGCGGTCTGTTCCGGGCTCCGGGGTCCGGCGGGTCCGTGGGTCTGCGGGTTTGGGGAGGGTCTGTACAGGGACCCGCAGTGGACCCGTGGGACTGGTTGAGATCCCGGTCCCGGTCTCGGTTCTGGTCCGGACTCAGATCCTCAGCAGCAGAGCTCATCTCTCCTCTTTACGAGAGACTTTGGACGAATGCCACGCCGTCGACCTGGAACACAGAGACACGGGTCAACGCCGGGAGGGCATCTGACGCAATCTGACACGGTGAGACGCGGGAGGGCATCTGGAGTACCTGATGAAGGTCTTGAAGGCGGCGCTCTGGGGGTTGATGCACAGTGGGACTCGCTTTCCCTGCTGATGCTCCGTGATGAAACGATGGATCAACTCTGAAAAAACACACAAATTTAACAACGACGACGAGAGGACCTGACACACACAGAGAGGGACCTGACACACACGGAGAGGGACCTGACACACACGAGAGGGACCTGACACACGGGAGGGACCGACACACACGGAGAGGGACCTGACACACACACGGAGAGGGACCTGACACACACGGAGAGGGACCTGACACACACGGAGAGGGACCTGACACACACGGAGAGGGACCTGACACACACGGAGAGGGACCTGACACACACGGAGAGGGACCTGACACACACGGAGAGGGACCTGACACACACGGAGAGGACCTGACACACACGGAGAGGGACCTGACACACACGGAGAGGGACCTGACACACACGGAGACCTGACACACACGGAGGGACCTGACACACACGGAGAGGGAGGACCGACACACACGGACACACACACGGAGAGGGACCTGACACACACGAGAGGACCTGACACACACGGAGAGACACCACGGAGAGGGACCTGACACACGGAGGGGACCGACACACACGGGAGGGACCTGACACACACGGGGAGGGACCCGGACACACACGGAGAGGGACCCGACACACACGGAGAGGGACCGACACACACACGGAGAGGGACCTGACACACACACGGAGAGGGACCTGACACACACGGAGAGGGACCTGACACACACGGAGAGGGACCTGACACACACGAGAGAGGGACCTGACACACACGGAGGAGGGACCTGACACACACGGAGAGGGACCTGACACACACACGGAGAGGGACCTGACACACACACGGAGAGGGACCTGACACACACACGGAGAGGGACCTGACACACACGGAGAGGACCTGACACACACGGGGGGAGGGCCTCTGACACACACGGGGGGGGGCCTCTGACACACACGGGGGGGGGCCTCTGACACACACGGGGGGGCCTCTGACACACACGGGGGGGGGGCCTCTGACACACACGGGGGCCTCTGACACACACGGGGGGGGCCTCTACACACACGGGGGGCCTCTGACACACACGGGGGGGGCCTCTGACACACACACACACACGGGGGGGGCCTCTGACACACACGGGGGGGGGGGGCCTCTGACACACACACGGGGGGGGGGCCTCTGACACACACGGGGGGGGGACACACACGGGGGGGCGTGTCTTCTCTGACATGTGACTGACCTTTGCCCTGCCACACAGACAGGAGGCTGTTCTCGTAGCTGTGGCTGAACGGCCGCTCGGCCACAGGCTCGAAGTCTCTGGTGTAGACGCGGCCGCTGGGCACAGAGTAACAGCACTGGCACATGCACGTGTGGTACCGCAGACGCCCCTCGTCCAGGTACGGGTGAGACAGAGCGTCCGAGCCCGAGATACGCTTCGCCTGGACACACCGCCACAGACACAGAAGAAGAAGAAGAAGAAGCAGAAGAAGAAGAAGAAGAAGAAGAAGCAGAAGAAGAAGAAGCAGAAGAAGAAGAAGCAGAAGAAGCAGAAGAAGAAGAAGCAGAAGAAGCAGAAGAAGAAGAAGAAGCAGAAGAAGCAGCAGAAGAAGAAGATCCATCAGAAATACTCATGTGCAGACGAGACAAATCTGAGCCCGTTTGTCTGTAGACGAACAGATAATAAATCTTCATAAACTCTGAAATGAGTCGAGTCGTTCAGAAATGTGCTGTGGAATTATGTCATCAGAAAATGAACTGAAAAGTGAAGACGTCAAGAATCACAATCACCAAATGAAAATGTACAATTACACTTTGCTCTCATTTTTACAGGAAAATCTGAGCAAAACAATAATAATAATAATAATAATAATGATATTGTCAACCCCAAATTTAAGACCTTAAGACTTTTTAAGAGCTTTTTAAGAGCTTTTTAAGACCACTTAAATGAAAATGAAGACCAACATCACACCCATTATGCAGGAGAAAAACACCAGATCCAATTCTAATAAAGACCAACAACTACAGCTCCTGCATCTAGAATCTAAGAGTCACTGTGGATTAAACCGACAATATCTGAGTTTGACGTGACGTCACAGGGCGACGTTTGTCAGCGCAAAATCAGACGGAGGCAGGAAGTGAACCGACTGGAGGAAAATGTCGATGTGTTGTGTAGTTTACGACTGTGCCAATCGTTCTAACCGAGAGAAGGAAAAGACTTTTTTTTTTTTAGAGAACCGAATATAGTCGTCCACGAAGGTCAGAAACAGGAAAAGCCGACAGAACAACACCGTAAAAAGTGGATTACAAACCTGTTTGTGTCGGGAGGAGCAGAATTCACTGATGCTCGTGTCTGCAGTGACACTTCAACAAAGGTTTGTTACAAAGACAAATAGTTTTTTGTGGTTTACCTAAACATAAACGAATCATTAACGACTAACGACGTTTGTTGACATTAAATAGTTCAGATAAATCGGTCACTGTCGATACACTGCAGTTTTACACATAAAATAAGAGAAACACTCCCCCCGGCCAAGACCAAACATCATCATCATTTAGACGTTTTGCACCGAGGTTGAGGACAAATCCACTGACAAAAAAAGTTCAATTCCTCCAAACTTTTGTACTTTGCCTTCATCTGTTGTCTGGTGTAGAACGACGTCTGAAGAGATCAATACTTCATGATCTCCTCTGCCTCGATTGTCGGCAAATCTTTTACTTCGGTTGAAAATTCTCTCATTTTCAATAAGATCAGGGTCACGTCCAATATATTTGTGGACTAACTGCTCGTACTTTTGCCTCGTTACTGACTCTAAATCCTGACAATAAGAACTCTTCTCCCTATCTGTGTTCTCCTGTCGTGTTTGTTTGTCGTGTTTGTTTGTCGTGTTTGTTTTGTGTTTGTCGTTTATTTGTCGTGTGTTTTGTGTCGTGTTTGTTTGTTTGTCGTGTTTGTTTGTCGTGTTTGTTTGTCGTGTTTGTTTGTCGTGTTGTTTGTTTGTCGTGTTTGTTTGTCGTGTTTGTTTGTCGTGTTTGTCTTCACTTCCTGCCCTCCGCGCGTCATCGTGATCACGTGACTGAAACCCTCCTCTTCCTCATGATCCATATAACTTCTTCCTCCACTCGACTGATGTTTCCTCTTTGCCGTCGGTGCCAGAAACCAAAGTGTTGTTTGAACATTCTCCAAATTAAACGTTCATTCACGTTACATGATTTCATGTTGTTGTTGTTTTTCCTCCCTCTGTTTAACATTGAACTACAGCCTGGACCGGGTTGAGTAAACGAAAAAATTATCTAATGACATTTGTGAAAAAAATCAGACTTGGACAACAGAATTTGAGGCTTTAATTTAGGAACATGAAATTTAAGACCTTTTTAAGACTTTTCCGACCCCACGGCTGCACTGATTATAAAACACTGACCACGTCTAATAATAATAATAATAATAAAAAAAAAAAATAAAATAAAAATAAAATAATAATAATAATAAAGTGAGACTGACCGGGTCAAAGACGAGCATCCGACACAGCAGGTGGATCGCCTCATGAGTCGCTCCATCAGAGAGCATGTAGAGCACCGACAGAGACGGCTGAACACACACACACACACACACACACACACACACACACACACACACACACACACGTCAGTGAGAGAAACACACACACACACACACACACACACACACACACACGTCAGTGAGAGAAACACACACACACACACACACACACACACACACACACACACACACACACACACACACACACACACACACACACACACACACACACACACGTCAGTGAGAGAAACACACACACACACACACACACACACACACACACACGTCAGTGAGAGAAACACACACACACACACACACACACACACACGTCAGTGAGAGAAACACACACACACACACACACACACACACACACGTCAGTGAGAGAAACACACACACACACACACACACACACACACACACGACAGTGAGAGAAACACACACACACACACACGTCAGAGAGAGAAACACACACACACACACACACACACACACGTCAGTGAGAGAAACACACACACACACGTCAGTGAGAGAAACACACACACACACACACACACACACACACGTCAGTGAGAGAAACACACACACACACACACACACACACACACACAGTCAGTGAGAGAAACACACACACACACACACAGTCAGAGAGAGAAACACACACACACACACACACACACACACACACACACGTCAGTGAGAGAAACACACACACACACACACACACGTCAGTGAGAGAAACACACACACACACACACACACACACACACACACACACACACACACACACACACACACACACACGTCAGTGAGAGAAACACACACACACACACACACACACACACACGTCAGTGAGAGAAACACACACACACACACACACACACGTCAGTGAGAGAAACACACACACACACACACACGTCAGTGAGAGAAACACACACACACACACACACACACACGTCAGTGAGAGAAACACACACACACACACAGTGAGAGAGAACACACACACACACACACGTCAGAGAGAGAAACACACACACACACACACACACACACACGTCAGTGAGAGAAACACACACACACACACACACACACACGTCAGTGAGAGAAACACACACACACACACACACACGTCAGTGAGAGAAACACACACACACACACACACACACACACGTCAGTGAGAGAAACACACACACACACACACACACAGTGAGAGAAACACACACACACACACGTCAGTGAGAGAAACACACACACACACACACACACACGTCAGTGAGAGAAACACACACACACACACACACACACGTCAGTGAGAGAAACACACACACACACACACACACACACACGTCAGTGAGAGAAACACACACACACACGTCAGTGAGAGAAACACACACACACACACACACGTCAGTGAGAGAAACACACACACACACACACACGTGAGAGAAACACACACACACGTCAGTGAGAGAAAACACACACACACACACGTCAGTGAGAGAAACACACACACACACACACACGTCAGTGAGAGAAACACACACACACGTCAGTGAGAGAGAAACACACACACACACACAGTCAGAGAGAAACACACACACGTCAGTGAGAGAAACACACACACACACACACACAGAGAGAGAAACACACACACACACACGTCAGTGAGAGAAACACACACACACACACACACATCAGAGAGAGAAACACACACACACACACGTCAGAGAGAAACACACACACAGACAGACACACACACGCGTCAGAGAGAGAAACACACACACGTCAGAGAGAGAAACACACACACACACGTCAGAGAAACACACACAGAGAGAGAAACACACACTCAGAGAGAGAAACACACACACACACACACGTCAGAGAGAGAAACACACACACACACGTCAGAGAAACACACACGTCAGAGAGAGACACACACACACGTCAGAGAGAGAAACACACACACACGTCAGAGAGAGAAACACACACACACACGTCAGTGAGAGAAACACACACACACACACACAACACACACATCAGAGAGAGAAACACACACGTCAGAGAGAACACACACACACACACACACGTCAGAGAGAGAAACACACACACACACACACACACGTCAGAGAGAGAAACACACACACACACAGACAGAGTGAAGAGTCTGACCGGTTTGTGGGGCCCTCGGAGGATGTGAGCTCGAGCTCCTTCACACGCAGACGACAGAGCGGAGAGAGGAGGAGTCCCCAACAGATCTGTGATCAGATCCAACTGAAACACAAAGACAAGGTCACAGAGAGGAAGAGGAGGAGGAGAGAGGAGGAGACAAGGAGAGAGGAGGAGACGAGGAGAGAGAGAGAGAGGAGGAGGAGAAGAGAGAGAGAGAGAGAGAGAGACGAGAGAGAGGAGAGAGGAGGAGAGAGGAGAGGAGAAGAGGAGAGAGAGGAGAGAGGAGAGAGGAGAGAGAGAGAGAGAAGAGAGAGGAGGAGAGAGAGAGAGAGAGAGGAGAAGGAGAGACGAGGAGAGAGGAGGAGGAGAGGAGAGAGGAGAGACGAGGAGAGAGGAGGAGGAGGAGAGAGAAGGAGACGAGGAGGAGAGGAGAGAGGGAGAGAGAGAGGAGAGAGAGGAGGAGAGAGAGAGGAGACGAGGAGAGAGGAGGAGACGAGGAGAGAGAAGAGAGAGGAGAGAGAGGAGAGAGGAGAGAGGAGGAGAGAGGAAGAGAAGGAGACGAGGAGAGAGGAGGAAGGAGAGGAGGAGACGAGAGAGAGGAGGAGACGAGGAGAGAGGAGGAGAGAGAGGAGAGAGGAGGAGACGAGGAGAGAGGAGGAGACGAGGAGAGAGGAGGAGAGAGAGAGAGAGGAGAGAGAGGAGACGAGGAGAGAGGAGGAGACGAGGAGAGAGGAGGAGACGAGGAGAGAGAGGAGACAGAGGAGAGAGGAGGAGACGAGGAGAGAGAGGAGGAGAGGAGAGAGGAGAGAGGAGGAGAGAGGAGGAGACGAGGAGAGAGAGTGTCTTAGGGTGATAGTGTCCCGGGGTCAGGGGTCAGGGGTCAGGGGTCAGACCTGCTGTATGGGGCTCTGGGCCTGGAACAGGATCCTTCTGCCCAGGAGCTCGGCGAAGATGCAGCCCACAGACCAGACGTCGATGGCCGAGGCGTAGTGTCTGCAGCCCATCAGAACCTCCGGAGCTCGATAGTACTGAGTCACCACCTCCTGAGTCATGTGACGAGACGGGTCGGGCTCCTCCACACGCGCCAGCCCGAAGTCACAGATCTGACACATAACACACACACACACACATCACACACACGCACACATCACACACACATCACACACACAAACACACACACACACACACAGGTTCAGCTGGAGGACGGGAAGAACTCGACTTTTCACATAATTAAATTACTGTATTTTTCAGACGATAGGTGAGTTTCATTGTTGACAAAAGCGTGCGTTGCATGATGGGAATTATTTTGGTCGGCGGCAAGAAACACTAATTGAACATGACGGACGGAGCGAGAAAACACGTAAAGGGTATTGATCCCGGTTATTGATCCACTAACGGCAGACGACCCAAGACCATTTGACCAGAAATTGGTCATAAACATCGACGGACGACAAATCTCCCTTTTCAACCCCGACAGAGTCTGGACCAAACCAAACTTCTGGTCAGAATCTCCAACTCCCTGGACAAATATTTATAATAATAATATTATTATCCACAATGACTTGGTGAAACTCCTGGGCCATTCACAGCAGAAAAGATGAAAACCTCCAAGAGTCTGGATGTGTTGTTGAACTTGTTGGAGTCGACGGTTTGTTCCCACCAAAACCAAACGACTAAACGACCAAAGTGCGTCCACACTGGCGTCAGAGCTGGACGGGCGTTTCGAGAGCTGCTGCTGCTGCTGGTCGTGTTGTGGTCTGGTTCTGGTTCTGGTTTAAACAGAGTCTGAGTGGGTCTCACCTTCAGCAGACAGTTGCTGTTCACCAGGAGGTTTCCAGGTTTAATGTCTCTGTGGAGGATTCCTGCAGAGTGGAGGTACTTCAGACCTGAGGACACAAACAGCACACGGTTAAACACAGCAGCAGAAGATTTACTACAGTAGAAGTACCAGGAGTAGTAGTAGTAGTATTTTCACAGTACCTCTGAGGATCTGGTAGAGGAAGACCTTGATGTGGTCGGTGGTGAGGGGCTGAGGAGACACGATCACTTTGTGGAGGTCACTCTGCATCAGCTCAGTGATCACGTAACTGTGTCAGTCAAAGAAATACTCCACAAAGTACACAGGAAATACTCCACAAAGTACATGAAATACTCCACAAACTACACGAGAAATACTCCACAAACTACACGAGAAATACTCCACAAACTACACGAGAAATACTCCACAAACTACACGAGAAATACTCCACAAAGTACATGAAATACTCCACAAAGTACACGAAAATACTCCACAAACTACACAGGAAATACTCCACAAACTACACGAGAAATACTCCACAAACTACACGAGAAATACTCCACAAAGTACATAAAATACTCCACAAAGTACACAAAATACTCCACAAAGTACACAAAATACTCCACAAACTACACGAGAAATACTCCACAAAGTACACGAAATACTCCACAAAGTACACGAGAAATACTCCACAAAGTACATGAGAAATACTCCACAAACGACACGAGAAATACTCCACAAAGTACACGAGAAATACTCCACAAAGTACAAGAGAACTAGACAGGGGTTGAGTCCTGGTTGAGTCCTGGTTGAGTCCTGGTTGAGTCCTGGTTTAGTTCCTGATGTGGAAGGATACATTTCCTCGAAGCAGTCGATCTGAGGCGGCTGCAAAATGTCCAACGCCGACAGAACCTGAAAAAAACAACAACAACAAGGATCAGAGCCGGACTAGAGCCGGACTAGAGCCGGACTAGAGCCGGTCTAGAGCCGGTCTAGAGCCGGACTAGAGCCGGACTAGAGCCGGACTAGAGCCGGACTAGAGCCGGTCTAGAGCCGGACTAGATCCGGACTAGATGTGGACTAGATGTGGACTAGATGTGGACTAGATGTGGACTAGATGTGGACTGACGTTGTCGTGTTTGAAGAAGCACAGCATCCTCAGTTCTCTGAAGACTCTTTTACAGGAGACCAGGTTCTGGAAGACGTTTGGCATCTTCTTCAGGGCGACTTTACGCCCGTCACGAGGATCCGTCACCGACCTGCAACACACACACACACACACACACACACACACACACACACAACACACACACACACACAACACACACACACACACACACACACACACACACACACAGGAGGATTATGAATCAAACCAAACAGGAAAAACATTCAGAATTACAACTATTGATCCACAGGGAAATTACTTTATATTTACATTTTAATAACAGAGGCACTTTTATCTAAGTCAAATTTCAAAAATATCAGAGGAGCAAAAACAGAGAGCAGAACGTCGAGTAAAGTACGTAGAATAAATAAAGAACAAAGAGCAGAACTGATGATTTAAACGTTGGATTTACACGGCGCCTTTAGGAGACGCTCCTGTAGCCACAGCCGCCCCGGGGCAGACAGACAGAAGAGAGGCTGTCAGTCTGCACCATGGGCCCCTCCCACTGCCGCCGCCACTCACACACACACACAGACACACACAGACACACACACACACACACACACAGACACACACACACACACACACACACACACACACAGACACAGAGACACACACACACAGACACACACACACAGACACACAGAAAGACACACACACAGACACAGACACAGACACACACACACACAAACACAAACACACAGACACACACACACACACACACACACACACACACACACACACACACACAGACACACACACACACACACACACAAACACACACACACACACACACAGACACACACACACACAGACACACACAGACACACACACACACACACACACACACACACACACACACACACACACACACACACACACACACACACACACACACACACACACACACACACACAGACACACACACACACACACACACACACACACACACACACACACACACACACACACACACACACACACACACACACACACACACACACACACACACACACAGACACACACACACACACACACACACAACACACACACACACACACACACACACACACAGCACACACACACGCACACACACGCACACACACACACACACGACACACACACACACACACACACACACACACACACACACACACACTCACACACACACACAGACACACACAGACACACACAGACACACACACACACACAGACACAACACACACACACACACACACACACACACACACACACACACAGACACACACACACACACACACACACACACACACACAGACACACACACACACACACACCACTTTCACACAGGCGATGTGGGTGAAGTGTCTTGCCTAAGGACACACTGACAGTGAGTTTCTGCCTCTGTCGTCCTGCTCCAGGAGACTGTGTGACTCTAGATCAGACGTGTGCAGCTCCTGGACACATGCGGAGCTTTGGTCGACTCTGATCGACCCGTTTAAACATTTGGAATCACAAAATAAACATATTTTATCATTTGACCTCAGGCCTGGACTGAAGAGTCATTTAACGTCAAATCATCTGCGTCGACGTGAAAACCCTCCACAGAGACCAACCTGCACCTCGGACGTTTAGTACCACACATTAAACCGACGCAGACGATCAGAGCTGTGATTGGTCGTCTCTACTAGTGACGGGCATTCAATGAAATGTTCTTAATCGATCGTCGGAAGAATTAACGATCGATTATCGATTAATCATGAACGTTTTTCTATTAAAATGATCATCATCATTATTACTATCTGCACTAATCTGCATCAATAAATTCAACTTTACGACATATAAACATAACGACTCTAGATCCACATCAGCTGTTTGACATTATAATGTGTTTAATTCAGTTTTGTTCAAATCTCACAGAAACAAAACTTAAAACCACATCACTAATTTACATAAACTAAGTGAAGATAAAACTCCAGCTCTTGTGTCGCTGATGTGGTTCAACTTGTGTTGGATTAAAAGACATGACTCAGGTGAATACAGGTCAGTGTGACCAGATTTGTGTTTGTCAAAACCAGGACAGCGTACGGGGGGAGGGGGGCGGGGCCTCGTCATCCACATTGAGCGACTCTCACCTGGAAAAACTTTTTCCCACTGGACACAGAAACATATGTGCTGCTTTATCCACTGTGCACATGGACTCACACTTGTCCCAACGCAACGGAAAGTGTGGAATTTCTTCTACAAATCCTGGTTAAATCCACATTTGTGCTTCGGTTCGTTACAGACTGACCCACTGTTTGTGTGTCTCGCTCCTTCTGATGCAGAGACACATGTACACACCTGTTTGGTCACGACACACACACATACATTCAGTTTGTCCAGTAAAATGAACGGAATCCATGAAATTCTTAATGATCAATTTTCGATTAATCGATTAATCATGCCCATCCCTAGTCTCTACATCGTCTCTACAAACATTTCCGGTTCTCCGTGGAGCTTTACTTTGCGGCGCACAGACTTTGACACAGATCCATGAATCAAAAACGACGGTGACGAGGCGACGGCGGCAGAGCAAAGAGTCGACGCAGAAATATAACTCGCCCTTAAAGCTGCATTACTTTTATTTTAGAGATGTTTTTAAATGACATTTTTCGTTTGTCAGTTTCACTTTTTAATGTTGAGTCAAACATAAACTCTTCAGTCTGAGCAGCGTCACAACTCTGAGATTTACTGATTTTTATCAACAAATACAATTCATAATCTGCAGAATTGAGTTCAGCGTTTTGGCTCCACAGTATTTTCTGTTTCTCATGTGGCCCGTTACCCGCTGACAGTTTCGATACCAGTTTTAGTTTGGATTTGACTCTGACTTTCGATACTTTTGATTGACAGCTGTACGCACCACACGACTCCAAACGCTCCGTATCCGATGGGTCTGTCCGGCTCCATCTCGGCCGGGCTGGGGACCTCGCTGGCCGGGTTGGTGTAGGGCTGAGGCACGGCGGCGCCCCCTCCGCCCGCGCTGCCCCCCAGAGCCGTGGGGTGTCTGGGGGTGGGCGCCGGCGCCGCGGAGCCCGTCAGGCCGGAGGTCAGGCCGGAGGTCAGGCCGGAGGCGGGAGCGGCGCACGAAGAGTTCACGCAGAAAAACTTCGGACCGAGATCCGAACCAGGAAACATGTCCACGGGCTGACGGGGAGCGCCGCTGTGGAACGCCATCCTCCAACGCACCGCCACCGACAACTGACGGGACGGAGGGAGAGAGAGAGAAGGAGAGAGAGAGACAGAGAGAGACAGAGAGAGAGGAGAGAGGAGGAGAGGAGAGAGGGAGAGAGGAGAGATGAGGTCAGTACAACAAAACTTTGGTTCATTCAACATGAATTAATTCATTTTAATGAACATAAATGTCACATATTTTGGATTTTGTGCCATCGTGGAGTCACTGAAATTAAAATTCAGGAGTTTCAAAGAACTGCAGTGTGGATCTCTTTCTTTTTTTGGACAGTTTTTGTCTTTGGACCCAGCACAGTGTCGATGTTCACGTCTGAATCCTGACTCGAGTGTCTCTGGACGGGAGCGTCCCCCCCTCCTCCGGGCGTCCCCCCCCCTCCTCCTCCGGGCGGCACACGGGGCCCTGCTGAGCCTGGGAGGAGGGGGGGGACGCTCTCGTCGCTGTGTCACTGTGACGTGTTGAGTTAGAAAATCCGTTTCTATATGATGATAAAATGAAATGTGAATGTTCCAGACCAAATGTGGGGCCTTGTCTGTGTCATTTTACAGATCCCGGTATTTAACATCAATATAATCCTCATTTGCTCGCACAACTTTACTATAAAACTGTATTATGTTTGTTTCTTGTTCCCCATGTCCTAAAGCGTCTGTAACTGTGGGTTTGGGGAGAAATATGAGTCATTATTGCATTATTAACAACATTTATAAGCAGCACAACAGAAGAAACTCAGAAAGCTACAGAATGTTCAAAAATCATTCAGAATCACTTTTAGGAAAGTCTTAACTGTATTTGATTGAAATCTGTCAGATAAAATCCTGAAATAGTTGTGACACTCCTGAGTCCTGTCCTGCTGAAGAGGATTCAATGTTTATAGATTAACTCACTTAGTTTCATAAACGGTACAGTTCTGGGGACTTTCCATCTGAGTCTCTATTTACCAATTTTGTGCAATTAACACAAAAATTAGTCCCATTTCTTTTCCCGTCTGCTTTGCTCCGCTGTGTTTTTCCCAACAGAGGAGCGGCTGTGAACTTCTCCATTAAAACACACAAACTGATCACACATGACTCAGTCTGGATCCAAATTAGATTAATTCCACAGACGTCGTTTGGGGATCAAATGTGACACTTCAGATTCAGACCTGGTTTATGGTTCAGATCTGTGTGATTCCTGGGTCCATCGACTGTGCATGAAGCAAAAACTGGTACAAAGTTCAGTGTCTTTGTCAGGACAAATAAACTAAAAGAGAAATGATTTTTATCCCGATCACCTCAAAGTGGTGACATTAACTCCATCAAAGGTGTAGCCTAAAGGAGCACTGTAGAAAATAAGACACTAATTAGGGTGAGCAGAATTGTAAAATCAAAAACTGGGACACTTTTGTGAAACGAGTGCATAATTATTTATGTCATTTATGACAAACATGAGTCAGTATAGTCACATTTTCTTTGTGTTTTGGTTGTTTTAAGCAGATTTTCTGTAATTTACCAAAACAAATGTCAGTTTATGTCTCTTTTTTACTGTCGGCAGGTATAAAATTGGTCAAAAATAGAGATACTGGGACATTTCTTGTATAAAATTGGATCAAATCTGTGGTTTTGGATAAATCTGCTGGGACTGTCCAGGGTCCAGTGTTGGGGAGTAACAGATTACATGTACCAGAGTAATCAGAGTACAAATGATGAGTAACTGTATTCAGTTACAGTTACTGTTTCAGTGAGTGGGAATTAGATTACAGTTACTTTGTTGGAATAAATGGATTACACAGAGAGATTTTCCTGTTTTCACATTTGGGGCTAAATCCCTTTTTTTTCTGTAATTCCACTCATTGCCGGATCAAACCAGGTCTAAACCAGGTCTAAACCAGGACTAAACCCAGGACTAAACAAGGACTAAACCAGGACTAAACAGGACTAAACCAGGACTAAACCAGGACTAAACCCAGGACTAAACCCAGGACTAAACCCAGGACTAAACCAGGACTAAACCAGGTCTAAACCAGGACTAAACCAGGACTAAATCCTGCTGTGTGGACATGTTTCCTCGTCTTTGATCAATAATATTTTTTATTTGGTTCAGTAAAATCTGGACTTTTTATTTTCTTTTAGCAAACAAAACATGTTATGTTACTATATCCTGGTCGTTGCTTCTCTACAGCAAACCAAGTAATCCAAAGTATTCAGATTACATTACTCACCTTGAGTAATTTAATGGATTCTATTACAAACTACATTTTGGGGTGTGTAATCTGTAATCTGTAGGGGATTACATTTTAAAAGTAACATTCCCAACACTGTCCCGGGTCAATAGGGACATCTGGTCACCCAACACTGAATCAGGTCTTTTATAGATTCTGAGAAGATGCAGAGCTCTGTCCAAACACTGTTTAACCTTTTATTATTATTACAATTATTATTATTATTATTATGGTTATTTATTTATTATTATTATTATTATTATTATTATTATTATGTTTGAGTCATAATGGGCTGTTTACCTGCTGTCAGTCTGGTCCTGATCCGCTCTTCTTTCAAGCTCCAGTCACACACATCCAGCAGAACCAGGGAAGAACCAGAACCAGGACCAGGACCAGGGCAGAGCGGGTCCTGCTCAGTCCCGCAGCCGAGGAGGAGCTACTGCGGCCGGGCCGGGGAGGCGAGGATGAGCGCGGTGTTCATGACGCCCTCTGCTGGCCGAGCTCCGCCGTCTCACCTGGCGATTTCACACCGATATAAAAAAAAAAAAACACCTCAACCTCTGGGAAAAAAACGCTTTAAAACCCGAACCAATATTCACAAAAACCGAAGTAAAAGCGCGTCCGGAGCGAAGCCTTTAAAACGTCCACTTTCATCACACCAGTTATCTTTGTTTGTAGCAGCAGCTGTTCCGTCCACTCCGCACGGAACTCAATATTATTTAGTTTAAAACACAAATTAAACACGCGGCGCTTTAGATTTAGGTGTAGTTCGAGTCACGGCAGCCGTAGAAACAAATCGGGTTGAATAAAAATGAGTGTTATTGGAGAAATGTGCGGGAAAAGCCGCTCCGGGGAGAGTTAGCTCGGCGCTAACCAGCTGTGGGCGCTAGTTAACCCGCTGCTGCCGCTGACCCAGATCCGCTCCGGCCGCCGCAGTGACCTACATATGCCGCTAAATATCCCGCTAAACGTGCCCCGGAGCGCACGGCTCGGCTTCTTTTAGCGTCACGAAAGCGCAAGGCGAGCGGGGCCGCACGGGGGGCGTCCGCGGCGCAGATTAGGTCGGAATAATCCCCCGCACGATCCCGGGTTCGGAGCTTCGTTCGCGGGGTGTTAGCCTGTTAGCTCCGCCGTTAGCTCCTCCCGTTAGCCGCTTTTATCGCGTTAAACAAAACAAACCCCCCGCGGAAATCCGTCTCTTTTTCGGGTTTTTTTCCGGGACGCTCCTCCAGCCGCCTCCCGGGGCTGGGTGTCCGAGCAAGACCAGGGCGTTCGGCGGTGTCTCTGGCCCCGTTCTCGGCGGAGGGGAGCCGGGGCTAACAGGCTAGCGGCGGCGGCGGCGGCGGAAGAGGAGCTGCCTGCGCTGGGTGGGGGAGGGTTAACGGCCGCGGCTGTAAACAAAGCTGCTCCCCCCCCGCCCCCCCGGAGCCCGGAGGAACCCGGAGGAACCCGGAGGAACCCGGAGGACCCGGAGGACCCGGAGGGCCCGGAGGAGCCCGGAGGAGCCCGGAGGAGCCCGGAGGAACCCGGAGGCCCGGAGGAACCCGGAGGAGCCCGGAGGCCCGGAGGAACCCGGAGGAGCCCGGAGGAGCCCGGAGGAGCCCGGAGGACCCGGAGGACCCGGAGGCCCGGAGCCCGGAGGAGCCCGGAGGAGCCCGGAGGGCCCGGAGGGGCCCGGAGGGACCCGGAGGGGGACCACAGGGACAGACCACAGGGCAGTAATGTCCCAGTGTCCCGGACTCTCTCAGAAGTGACCGGACCAAAATAAGTTAAAGTGTCCAGACGTCCCAGTTTTTTACCCTGTGTCCCCTGTCCCACAGATTTATACAAAAAAAACAAACACTGATTTGTCCCAGTTTTTTACAATGTCCCAAGTGTCTCTATTTTTGACCATTTTTATACTTGCCAACAGTAAAACATTGACATTTGTTGAGATAAAACACAGAAAATCTGCTTAAAAACGACGAAAACACAAAGAAAATGTGACAATACTGACAAACATTCGTCATAACTGGTCCCTGCAGAACAGTTTTCCTTAATTACGGACTCATTTCACAATTGTATTATCAACCACCAAAAAAAAAAAAAAAAAATTGGTCACCCCAACAATGTCCCGAAGTCCCGGACTCTTCCAGAAGTGACTGGACCAAAATAAATAAAGTTAAAGTGTCCAGACGTCCCAATTTTTACCCCGTCCCACAGATTTATACAAAAAACACTGATTTGTCCCAGTTTTATACAAGAAATGTCCCAAGTGTCCCTATTTTTGACCAATTTTATACTTGCCAACAGTAAAAAAGAGACATACATTGACATTTGTTTTGGTAAAATACATTAAAGTTGCTTAAAAACGACCAAAACACAAAGAAAATGTGACTGTACTGACTCATGTTGGTCAAGAATGATCTCTGCAGAACAGTTTTCCTTAATTTCACACTTGATTCACAATTTTATTATTACCAACCACCAAAAAAACTCTAAAATTCTGTTCAGTTTTTCCCAGTTTTGCACAAGAAATGTCCCAGGTGCAGTGGCAGAGTTCACAATTTGGGGGCCTAGGTGAACCTAAGTTTGGGGCCCTCACTATAATGTACCGTTTTTCTGTTTTGTTTTGTTTTTAGATTTGACATACATTGACATTCGTTTTGGTAAAATATAAAAAAGCGGCTTAAAAATGACCAAAACACAAAGAAAATGTGACTATACTGATGCACATTATTATTATTATATAAGTCCTTAATTACAGACTCATTTCACAATTTTATCATCATCAACCACCAAAAGATACAAAAAAAATAAATAAAAATTTGGTCTCCCCAAAGATGTCCCAGTGTCCCAGTGTCCCGGACTCTTCCAGAAGTGACTGGACCAAAATAAGTCAAGTTAAAGAGTCCAGACGTCCCAGTTTTACACCGTGTGTCCCCTGTCCCACAGATTTATATATAAAAAATACTTGATATTTACTTTTATTTATGATTTGTCCCAGTTTTATACAAGAAATGTCCCAAATGTCCCTATTTTGGACCAATTTTATACTTGCTAACAGTAAAACATTGACATTTGTTGAGGTAAAATACAAAAAATCTGCTTAAAAACGACCAAAACACAAAGAAAATGTGATTTTACTGACTCGTGTTGGTCATGAATTGTCTCTGCAGAACAGTTTTTTTCTTAATTTCGCACTTGATTCACAATTTTATTAAAAAACAGGGACGTCCCAGTTTTTTCTTTGGACTTTCTGGTCGGTGTAACAATGTCCCAATGTCTCCAACTCTCAGAATCATTTGTAGAAGTGATTTTACCAAATTAGTAAAGTTAGTTTGACCAGACGTCCCAATTTATACAAGAAAAGTCCCAAATGTCCCGATCTCTGACCAGGACTAATCCAAGACTAAACCAGGACATAATCTGGTTCCTGCCGACATAAAACAGGAGCAGAAACTGTGATTTGTTTTGGTAAAAGACACAAATCTGTGTTTGTGAACCAACGAAAAGAAAAAAATAAAATTAAAAAATGCAGCTTTTAAATGTTTGTTTCTTCTGTCTCGTTGTGTCTCTTTATGACGCAGCCACAGCTCAGTGTCACTTTTTACTCCCAATTAAAGCTCCACTCTGTAACTTTTCCAGTGGGAGTGTCTCCATCTGTTGAAGAGTGTGTGTCGTGTTCTTACTGTGAGCGGGACTCGCCTCTCCACAGACCTGACTGGGCTTCTTCACTTCCCGTCTCCACGGAGATAAAGTTTAATATCTCCATGGAAACAAGAAAAAAAACATGACAGTTTGTACATTTATGTTGTTTAGTGATGAAACTAAACCAGAACTAAACCAGGACTAAACCAGAACTAAACCAGACTAAACCAGGACTACACCAGGTCTAAAACAGACTAAACCAGAACTAAACCAGGACTAAACCAGGACTAAATCAGGTCTAAACCAGGACTAAACCAGAACTAAACCAGGACTAAACCAGAACTAAATCAGGACTAAACCAGGACTAAACCAGAACTAAACCAGGACTAAACCAGAACTAAATCAGGTCTAAACCAGGACTAAACCAGGACTAAACCAGGACTAAACCAGGTCTAAACCAGGACTAAACCAGGACTAAACCAGGACTAAACCAGGACTAAACCAGAACTAAACCAGGACTAAACCAGGACTAAACCAGGACTAAACCAGGACTAAACCAGGTCTAAACCAGGACTAAACCAGGACTAAACCAGGTCTAAACCAGGACTAAACCAGGACTAAACCAGACTAAACCAGGACTAAACCAGGTCTAAACCAGGACTAAACCAGGACTAAACCAGGTCTAAACCAGGACTAAACCAGGACTAAACCAGGACTAAACCAGACTAAACCAGGACTAAACCAGATCTAAACCAGGACTAAACCAGGACTAAACCAGGACTAAACCAGGACTAAACCAGGTCTAAACCAGGACTAAACCAGGACTAAACCAGGACTAAACCAGATCTAAACCAGGACTAAAACCAGGACTAAACCAGGACTAAACCAGGACTAAACCAGGACTAAACCAGGACTAAACCAGGACTAAACCAGGTCTAAACCAGGACTAAACTAAACCAGGTCTAAACCAGGTCTAAACCCGGTCTTGTTGCGGTCGTAAACAGGAGCAGAGTCTCGTTGCGTTTTGTCGTTTGTTTAATACATGTTTTACTTCGAGTCACGAGTCGAGTCACCAAAGAAGCTACGAGTCACACGAAACGTCGGAAATACAAATCAGAACGAACCGCGGGTCAGACGGAACATTTACGCTCAGTCCTGCGCCGGAACGTCCCGTCCACAAATAAATAAACGTCCACGAGAATCAAAAAAAAATAAAAACTGTCCGAGGGAAAAAACGAGGACGAGCTGTGCAACGAAAAGAAGAAGAAGAAGAAGAAGAAGAAGAAGAGGAGAAGAAGAAGAGAAGAGGCGGCGCTGTGGAGCCGGTAAAAACACGTCGTCCAAACTGGAGCCGTCGGAGCCGAGTTCTGTACAAGAGTTTAATGTTTGTGAGGAGAGAGCGAGGGGCCGTGTGCAAAAACAACCTGAAAAACAAACAAACAAACAAAACAAACAAACAAATAAACAAACAGATGAGTGAATGAATGAGACACAGACACCAGCGCCTGACTCTCCGCTCTTGACCCTCGCTCTGACCTCACAGGTGTTACCTGTATGTCTCTCCTGCTCTTGACCCTCACTCTGACCTCACAGGTGTTACCTGTATGTCTCTCCGCTCTTGACCCTCACTCTGACCTCACAGGTGTTATCTGTATGTCTCTCCGCTCTTGACCCTCACTCTGACCTCACAGGTGTTACCTGTATGTCTCTCTGCTCTTGACCCTCGCTCTGACCTCACAGGTGTTATCTGTATGTCTCTCCGCTCTTGACCCTCGCTCATGGTTCTGACCTCACAGGTGTTACCTGTATGTCTCTCCTGCTCTTGACCCTCACTCTGACCTCACAGGTGTTACCTGTATGTCTCTCCGCTCTTGACCCTCACTCTGACCTCAACAGGTGTTACCTGTATGTCTCTCTGCTCTTGACCTCGCTCTGACCTCACAGGTGTTATCTGTATGTCTCTCTGCTGCTCTTGACCCTCCTGCTCTTGACCCTCGTGGTTCTGACCTCACAGGTGTTATCTGTATGTCTCTCCTGCTCTTGACCCTCACTCTGACCTCACAGGTGTTACCTGTATGTCTCTCCGCTCTTGACCCTCACTCTGACCTCACAGGTGTTATCTGTATGTCTCTCCTGCTCTTGACCCTCGCTCTGACCTCACAGGTGTTATCTGTATGTCTCTCCTGCTCTTGACCCTCGCTCTGACCTCACAGGTGTTATCTGTATGTCTCTCCGCTCTTGACCCTCACTCTGACCTCACAGGTGTTATCTGTATGTCTCTCTGCTCTTGACCCTCACTCTGACCTCACAGGTGTTACCTGTATGTCTCTCCGCTCTTGACCCTCACTCTGACCTCACAGGTGTTACCTGTATGTCTCTCCGCTCTTGACCCTCACTCTGACCTCACAGGTGTTATCTGTATGTCTCTCTGCTCTTGACCCTCACTCTGACCTCACAGGTGTTATCTGTATGTCTCTCTGCTCTTGACCCTCACTCTGACCTCACAGGTGTTATCTGTATGTCTCTCTGCTCTTGACCCTCACTCTCTGACCTACAGGTGTTATCTGTATGTCTCTCCTGCTCTTGACCCTCACTCTGACCTCACAGGTGTTATCTGTATGTCTCTCCGCTCTTGACCCTCACTCTGACCTCACAGGTGTTATCTGTATGTCTCTCCTGCTCTTGACCCTCACTCTGACCTCACAGGTGTTATCTGTATGTCTCTCTGCTCTTGACCCTCACTCTGACCTCACAGGTGTTACCTGTATGTCTCTCTGCTCTTGACCCTCACTCTGACCTCACAGGTGTTACCTGTATGTCTCTCCGCTCTTGACCCTCGCTCTGACCTCACAGGTGTTATCTGTATGTCTCTCCGCTCTTGACCCTCGCTCGTGGTTCTGACCTCACAGGTGTTACCTGTATGTCTTCTCTGCTCTTGACCCTCGCTCTGACCTCACAGTGTTATCTGTATGTCTCTCCGCTCTTGACCCTCGCTCTGACCTCACAGGTGTTACCTGTATGTCTCTCCGCTCTTGACCCTCGCTCTGACCTCACAGGTGTTACCTGTATGTCTCTCTCTCTGACCCTCGCTCTGACCTCACAGGTGTTACTGTATGTCTCTCTGCTCTTGACCCTCGCTCTGACCTCACAGGTGTTTATCTCTCTGTAGTCTCTCCAGGTGCTCTTGACCCTCGCTCATGGTTCTGACCTCACAGGTGTTATCTGTATGTCTCTCCTGCTCTTGACCCTCACTCTGACCTCACAGGTGTTACCTGTATGTCTCTCTGCTCTTGACCCTCACTCTGACCTCAACAGGTTTACCTGTATGTCTCTCCGCTCTTGACCCTCACTCTGACCTCACAGGTGTTACCTGTATGTCTCCGCTCTTGACCCTCGCTCTGACCTCACAGGTTTATCTGTTGTCTCTCCGCTCTTGACCCTCGTCTGACCTCACAGGTGTCTGTATGTCTCTCCGCTCTTGACCCTCGCTCGTGGTTCTACCTCACAGGTGTTATCTGTATGTCTCTCCTGCTCTTGACCCTCACTCTGACCTCACAGGTGTCATCTGTATGTCTCTCCGCTCTTGACCCTCGCTCTGACCTCACAGGTGTTATCTGTATGTCTCTCCTGCTCTTGACCCTCACTCTGACCTCACAGGTGTTATCTGTATGTCTCTCTGCTCTTGACCCTCACTCTGACCTCACAGGTGTTACCTGTATGTCTCTCTGCTCTTGACCCTCACTCTGACCTCACAGGTGTTACCTGTATGTCTCTCCGCTCTTGACCCTCGCTCTGACCTCACAGGTTTACCTGTATGTCTCTCTGCTCTTGACCCTCACTCTGACCTCACAGTTTACCTGTATGTCCTGCTCTTTGACCCTCGCTCGTTCTGACCTCACAGGTGTTACCTGTATGTCTCTCCTGCTCTTGACCCTCGCTCTGACCTCACAGGTGTTATCTGTATGTCTCTCCGCTCTTGACCCTCGCTCTGACCTCACAGGTGTTACCTGTATGTCTCTCCGCTCTTGACCCCGCTCTGACCTCACAGGTGTTATCGTAGTCTCGCTCTGACCTCACAGGTGTTATCTGTATGTCTCTCCTGCTCTTGACCCTCACTCTGACCTCACAGTGTTACCTGTATGTCTCTCTGCTCTTGACCCTCCACTCTGACCTCACAGGTGTTACCTGTATGTCTCTCCGCTCTTGACCCTCACTCTGACCTCACAGGTGTTACCTGTATGTCTCTCCGCTCTTGACCCTCACTCTGACCTCACAGGTGTTATCTGTATGTCTCTCCGCTCTTGACCCTCGCTCTGACCTCACAGGTGTTACCTGTATGTCTCTCCGCTCTTGACCCTCGCTCGTGGTTCTGACCTCACAGGTGTTATCTGTATGTCTCTCCGCTCTTGACCCTCACTCTGACCTCACAGGTGTTACCTGTATGTCTCTCCGCTCTTGACCCTCACTCTGACCTCACAGGTGTTACCTGTATGTCTCTCCGCTCTTGACCCTCGCTCTGACCTCACAGGTGTTATCTGTATGTCTCTCCTGCTCTTGACCCTCACTCTGACCTCACAGGTGTTACCTGTATGTCTCTCCGCTCTTGACCCTCACTCTGACCTCACAGGTGTTATCTGTATGTCTCTCCGCTCTTGACCCTCACTCTGACCTCACAGGTGTTACCTGTATGTCTCTCCGCTCTTGACCCTCGCTCTGACCTCACAGGTGTTATCTGTATGTCTCTCTGCTCTTGACCCTCGCTCGTGGTTCTGACCTCACAGGTGTTATCTGTATGTCTCTCCGCTCTTGACCCTCACTCTGACCTCACAGGTGTTACCTGTATGTCTCTCCGCTCTTGACCCTCGCTCGTGTTCTTACCACAGGTGTTACCTGTATGTCTCTCCGCTCTTGACCCTCGCTCTGACCTCACAGGTGTTATCTGTATGTCTCTCTGCTCTTGACCCTCGCTCGTGGTTCTTACCTCACAGGTGTTAGCTGTGCGTCTGCGGGTTGATGGAGGAGCAGTCCGTGACCAGGAGTCCGACCGCTCCCGGCGCCACGGTCGACTCGCCGCCGCCGGTTCCCACGGCGATGGCTCCGATGGGCACGGCCACGCCCTCCACGGTGACGCCGGCCGGCACCTCGCCCACGGTGACGGCCTCCACGGCGGCGGCGCCCGTGACCTCCCCCGGCCGCCCCTGCCCCGGCGCCGGCCCAGGTGCACCTCGCTCTGGGCGGCGGCGTGCGTGCCCATGTGGCCCTGGAGCTGCGTGGCGGTTTTGCACTGGACGCCGCAGAGTTGGCAGAGGAGCACGCCGCCCGCCGCGCCGCCGAACGCCCCCCGCGCCCCCCCGCTCTCCTTCCACTCCTGCCCGTGATGCTTCTGAGCGTGAACGCGAAGGTACGTCAACGTCGTGAAACCTGACGAGAAACGACACGAGGACAAGAACATCACTAACATCTACTGGAAGTCCTGGTCTAGTCCTGGTCTAGACCTGGTCTAGACCTAGTCTAGTCCTGGTCTAGTCCTGGTCTAGTCCTGGTCTAGACCTAGTCTAGTCCTGGTCTAGTCCTGGTCTAGTCCTGGTCTAGACCTAGTCTAGTCCTGGTCTAGTCCTGGTCTAGTCCTGGTCTAGACCTAGTCTAGACCTGGTCTAGTCCGAGTCTAGTCCTGGTCTAGACCTAGTTTAGTCCTGGTTTAGTAGTAGTATTTGTAGTACGTACTGCGGTTGCACAGGTGGCAGGAGTGGTGCTGCAGTAGTAGTAGTAGTAGTAGTAGTTTGTAGTATTTGTAGTAGTAGTATTTGTAGTACGTACTGCGGTTGCACAGGTGGCAGGAGTGGTGCTGCAGTAGTAGTAGTAGTATTTGTAGTAGTAGTATTTGTAGTACGTACTGCGGTTGCACAGGTGGCAGGAGTGGTGCTGTGATTGGTTGTGGACTCTCATGTGATCCGTGATGTAAGCGGCCGACAGGAGTTTTCCGCAGATGTGACACGGAACTTTCTCCTCGTGTCGGATCAGGTGAGCGCGGAGACGATCACGGGTCGCGAACGCCGACGTGCACGTCTGCAAGGGGAGACGGTCAGACACGAGAGCAGGAGACGAGGAGGAGGAGAGGGTCAGACACAAGAGCAGAGGAGACGAGGAGGAGGAGAGGGTCAGACACAAGAGCAGGAGACGAGGAGGAGGAGACGACGAGAGCAGAGGAGACGAGGAGGAGGAGAGGGTCAGACACAAGAGCAGAGGAGACGAGGAGGAGGAGAGGTCAGACACAGAGCAGAGGAGACGAGAGAGGAGGAGACGGTCAGACACGAGAGCAGAGAGACGAGGAGGAGGAGGGGTCAGACACAAGAGCAGAGGAGACGAGGAGGAGGAGAGGGTCAGACACAAGAGCAGAGGAGACGAGGAGGAGGAGAGGGTCAGACACAAGAGCAGGAGGAGACAGAGGAGGAGAGGGTCAGACACAAGAGCAGAGACGAGGGAGGAGAGGGTCAGACACAGAGCAGAGGAGACGAGGAGGAGAGAGGGTCAGACACAAGAGCAGAGGAGAGGAGGAGGAGAGGTCAGACACAAGAGCAGGAGAGACAAGGAGGAGGAGAGGGTCAGACACAAGAGCAGGAGGAGACGAGGAGGAGGAGAGGGTCAGACACAAGAGCAGGAGACGAGGAGGAGGAGAGGGTCAGACACAAGAGCAGGAGACGAGGAGGAGGAGAGGGTCAGACACAAGAGCAGGAGACGAGGAGGAGGAGAGGGTCAGACACAAGAGCAGAGGAGACGAGGAGGAGGAGAGGGTCAGACACAAGAGCAGAGGAGACGAGGAGGAGGAGAGGGTCAGACACAAGAGCAGGAGACGAGGAGGAGGAGAGGGTCAGACACAAGAGCAGAGGAGACAAGGAGGAGGAGAGGGTCAGGCACAAGAGCAGGAGGAGACGAGGAGGAGGAGAGGGTCAGACACAAGAGCAGGAGGAGACGAGGAGGAGGAGAGGGTCAGACACAGCAAGAGCAGAGGAGACGAGGAGGAGGAGAGGGTCAGACACAAGAGCAGGAGAGACGAGGAGGAGGAGAGGTCAGACACAAGAGCAGGAGGAGACGAGGAGAGGAGAGGGTCAGACACAAGGGAGGAGACGAGGAGAGGAGAGGTCAGACACAAGAGAGAGGAGACGAGGAGGAGGAGAGGGTCAGACACAAGAGCAGAGGAGACGAGGAGGAGGGAGAGGGTCAGACACAAAGAGCAGAGGAGACGAGGAGGAGGAGAGGGTCAGACACAAGAGCAGGAGGAGAGGAGGAGGAGAGGGTCAGGCACAAGAGCAGGAGGAGACGAGGAGGAGGAGAGGGTCAGACACAAGAGCAGGAGAGACGAGGAGGAGGAGGAGGGTCAGACACAAGAGCAGAGGAGACGAGGAGGAGGAGAGGGTCAGACACAAGAGCAGAGGAGACGAGGAGGAGGAGAGGGTCAGACACAAGAGCAGAGGAGACGAGGAGGAGGAGAGGGTCAGACACAAGAGCAGGAGACGAGGAGGAGGAGAGGGTCAGACACAAGAGCAGAGGAGACGAGGAGAGGAGAGGGTCAGAGGAGAGGAGGAGGAGTCAGACACAAGAGCAGAGGAGACGAGGAGGAGGAGAGGGTCAGTCAGACACAAGAGCAGGAGGAGACGAGGAGGAGGAGAGGGTCAGACACAAGAGCAGGGAGACGAGGAGGAGAGAGGGTCAGACACAAGAGCAGAGGAGACGAGGAGGAGGAGAGGGTCAGACACAAGAGCAGGAGGAGACGAGGAGGAGGAGAGGGTCAGACACAAGAGCAGAGGAGACGAGGAGGAGGAGAGGGTCAGACACAAGAGCAGGAGACGAGGAGGAGGAGAGGGTCAGACACAAGAGCAGAGGAGACGAGGAGGAGGAGAGGGTCAGACACAAGAGCAGGAGACGAGGAGGAGGAGAGGGTCAGACACAAGAGCAGAGGAGACGAGGAGGAGGAGAGGGTCAGACACAAGAGCGGAGAGACAGGAGGAGGAGGGTCAGAGGCAGAGAGAGAGAGAGAGGTCAGACACAAGAGCAGGAGACGAGAGAGGAGAGGGTCAGACACAAGAGCAGAGGAGACGAGGAGGAGGAGAGGGTCAGACACAAGAGCAGGAGACGAGGAGGAGGAGAGGGTCAGACACAAGAGCAGGAGGAGACGAGGAGGAGGAGAGGGTCAGACACAAGAGCAGGAGACAGAGGAGAGAGGGTCAGACACAAGAGCAGAGAGGAGGAGAGTCAGACACAAGAGCAGAGACGAGGAGGGAGAGAGGGTCAGACACAAGAGCAGGAGACAAGGAGGAGGAGAGGGTCAGACACAAGAGCAGAGGAGACGAGGAGGAGGAGAGGGTCAGACACAAGAGCGGAGGAGACGAGGAGGAGGAGAGGGTCAGACACAAGAGCAGGAGACGAGGAGGAGAGATCAGACACAAGAGAGAGAGAGGGGAGGAGAGGTCAGACACAAGAGCAGAGGAGACAAGGAGGAGGAGAGGGTCAGACAGGAGCAGACAGGAGCAGACAGGTGTAGACAGGTGCAGACAGGTGTAGACAGGAGCAGACAGGTGCAGACAGGTGTAGACAGGTGTGGACAGGAGCAGACAGGTGTAGACAGGAGCAGACAGGTGTAGACAGGAGCAGACAGGTGTAGACAGGAGCAGACAGGTGTAGACAGGTGCAGACAGGAGCAGACAGGTGCAGACAGGAGCAGACAGGTGTAGACAGGTGCAGACAGGAGCAGACAGGTGTAGACAGGTGCAGACAGGAGCAGACAGGTGCAGACAGGAGCAGACAGGTGTAGACAGGTGCAGACAGGAGCAGACAGGTGTAGACAGGAGCAGACAGGTGTAGACAGGAGCAGACAGGAGCAGACAGGAGCAGACAGGTGCAGACAGGAGGAGACAGGTGCAGACAGGTGTAGACAGGAGGAGACAGGTGTAGACAGGTGTAGACAGGAGCAGACAGGAGCAGACAGGTGCAGACAGGAGGAGACAGGTGCAGACAGGAGGAGACAGGTGTAGACAGGAGCAGACAGGAGCAGACAGGTGCAGACAGGTGTAGACAGGTGTAGACAGGTGTAGACAGGTGCAGACAGGAGCAGACAGGTGCAGACAGGAGCAGACAGGTGTAGACAGGAGCAGACAGGTGTAGACAGGTGCAGACAGGAGCAGACAGGAGGAGACATGAGCAGACAGGTGCAGACAGGAGGAGACAGGTGCAGACAGGAGGAGACAGGTGTAGACAGGAGCAGACAGGAGCAGACAGGTGTAGACAGGTGCAGACAGGAGCAGACAGGTGTAGACAGGAGCAGACAGGTGCAGACAGGTGCAGACAGGTGTAGACAGGTGCAGACAGGAGCAGACAGGAGCAGACAGGTGTAGACAGGTGCAGACAGGAGCAGACAGGTGCAGACAGGTGTAGACAGGTGTAGACAGGTGCAGACAGGTGCAGACAGGTGTACGTACGGTGCATTTGAAGGGTCTCTCTGTGGAGTGCACCTGCCTCACGTGGCTGTTCAGATGATCGGGCCTGAAACACAAACATTTAAACATTTAAATCAAATAAAACATTTTTAACTCGAGGATAAAAACACAAAAATAAAGATTTGACTCTTCAGGACGTCGACGAACAGAGCGGAGAGTCATGTGACGGGATCTGGACAAGGGTTCTGGTTCTGGTTCTGTGTGTTGTGTGATTCTTGTTCTGTGGTTCTGGTTCTGGTTCTGTGGTTCTGTGGTTGTGTGGTTCTGTGGTTCTGGTTCTGGTTCTGTGGTTCTGGTTCTGGTTCTGTGGTTGTGTGATTCTTGTTCTGTGGTTCTGTGTTCTGTTGTGTCTGGTTCTGTGGTTCTGTTCTGTGGTTCTGTGTTCTGTGGTTGTGTGGTTCTGGTTCTGTTGTGGTTCTGGTTCTGGTTGTGTGTGTTGTGTTCACCGTGAGAAGGCCTTGGTGCAGTGTGGGCACACGTAGGGCTTCTCCATGTATGAGGTGGTTCTGTGGTTCTGGTTCTGTGGTTCTGTGGTTGTGTGATTCTTGTTCTGTGGTTCTGTGGTTCTGGTTCTGTGGTTCTGTGGTTTTGGTTCTGGTTCTGTGGTTGTGTGGTTCTGGTTCTGTGGTTCTGGTTCTGGTTCTGGTTCTGTGTGTTGTGTTCACCGTGAGAAGGCCTTGGCGCAGTGCGGGCACACGTAGGGCTTCTCGACGCCGCCCTGGTGCGAGCGGACGTGGTAGCTCATTCGGTCTTTGCGTTTGAATCGCTGTTGGCAGATCGGGCACGAGTACGGCTTCTCGTCCGAGTGCGACAGACGGTGCCGGTTCAGGTGGTACACGTCGCGAAACGCCTTCCCGCACGCCTCGCACGCGTGGTTCTTCCGGATGGGCGGCGCCGAGGGGGGCGGGGCCACGGACTGCAGAGGGAGGAGAGACAAAAGTCATGAATATTCAAAGGACAAACACAAACCACAGTCCAAATAAAAACGGGGACCTGGTCGACGGAGCCCACCACCACCACGGCCGCCTGGATGGGCTGGGGGGGCACGGCCATGGAGACGGTTGCCGGGGCGATGGAGACGGTTGCCGGAGCGATTGAAACGGAGACCGTGTCCATGGCGACGCTGACCGTGGGCGGGGCCTGTAAGCACAATGACATCATCACAAACAGAACGAACAAACGTAAAACTGAAACTGAACTTTATGATTCTGAACGACTGCGGCTGCACGAACGTCTCCTGACGAACGTGTGAACGTACGAGAAAACAACGATTAAAACACACTTAAAGGTTTTAGTTTCAACTTGTCAATGAATGTTCAAAACATCATTATAGACGCAGCAGCCTTGGAATTATGAAGACCAAACAAAAAAATTAAAATTGATCGACTGTGGAAGTGCTGGGGCCAGATAAACATTATTTTTCAAGCAAACTCTACATTTCTAGTGTAACTGACTCGCCAGCGCAGGGATTACGTGGTTTACGCCTCTCACACATTCCGCCGTTTGCTGCAATGGCCGACGAAGAAGAGGAAAAGGAGCAAAGACAAACAAAGGTGATTCTTGGAGATTCCTCAAGAATCCAGTTTGGAAGGACACCAGTTTGGTCCTTTCACACCTGCGAACCAACCGAACCTGCTCCCACTGAGGTTTATCCAAGGCCCCAGCAGGTTCCACTGCACAAGGCCTGGGGACGTCAAGGCTGAGACGTCTCACTCAGTGGCCTTCCCAAGGAGCCACTCTGCAGGGTACGGACAGCGGGCTGGTCCCTCTCCCCTCAAGTGGAGGCCGACCAGGGGAACCTATGGGCTGCCAGCCGCGGGGCAAGCGTCTGAAACTGACCCCAGCGCCCAGCACACGCCTTAACCAGGGTGCGCTTGATTGCTGTCCTCCCATGATGCATTTGGAATAGGCGGTTTGGACCCAAGTTGGTGTTTCACCAGAGGGACCAGAGTTTGGCGTTTGGACCAAGGCCACCTCTTTTTTGAGTCTCGGTCCGTTTGATTTAGTGCAGATCCGAGTGTGACTGAAGCTTCCACAACAACCAAAACCAACAAAAAACAATCAAAATCAATGAAAACCAACTCAACTAAGATCTTCTGGAGCCAATGGAAAGTTTGGTGCACCACCTGCTGTCACTGTGAAAGATCCCTAAACAAACTTTAATATTGATAATTTAGGTATTTAGTAGAAACTTCAATTTCAGTCCATGTCTTTCATAAATTGGGTAAATTATCTGAGTAAATCTGTTTAAACAGCCCTGACTCTCTGCGTTGCTTTGATGCCGTTACAAAAGCGACGCAGACAATCAAAGGCTGTGATTGGTCGTCTCTACGTTCGCTCGACACACATTTCCCGTACTCTACGTTCCCGCTTCATTTTGTAAACACGCCAGATTTAAATCGTCGCCCCCTGGTGTTGTGGAGGTGAATTTCTTTGCGGCGCAAAAACCTCGACACAGATTCATAAACGAAAGACGATGGCGGCAAAGAACGATGAGCCGACGCAGAATTAAACTTCAGCCTTTACACTCATTAAGAACATCAAACTGGAGAAGGAAGTACATCACAGTGGACTAAACCTGGACTAAACTCTGTCTAAACTCGGTCTAAACCCGGTCTAAACTCTGTCTAAACCCTGTCTAAACTCTGTCTAAACCCGGTCTAAACTCTGTCTAAACTCTGTCTAAACTCTGTCTAAACCCGGTCTAAACCCTGTCTAAACCCTGTCTAAACTCGGTCTAAACCCGGTCTAAACTCGGTCTAAACCCAGTCTAAACCCTGTCTAAACCCGGTCTAAACTCTGTCTAAACCCTGTCTAAACTCTGTCTAAACCCGGTCTAAACCTGGTCTAAACCCTGTCTAAACTCGGTCTAAACTCTGTCTAAACCCGGTCTAAACCCGGTCTAAACTCTGTCTAAACTCTGTCTAAACCCGGTCTAAACCCTGTCTAAACCCTGTCTAAACCCTGTCTAAACCCGGTCTAAACCCTGTCTAAACCCTGTTTAAACCCTGTCTAAACCCGGTCTAAACCCTGTCTAAACCCGGTCTAAACCCTGTCTAAACCCGGTCTAAACCCTGTCTAAACCCGGTCTAAACCCTGTCTAAACTCTGTCTAAACCCGGTGTAAACCCGGTGTAAACCCGGTGTAAACCCTGTCTAAACCCGGTCTAAACCCTGTCTAAACCCGGTCTAAACCCGGTCTAAACCCGGTCTAAACCCGGTCTAAACCCTGTCTAAACCCGGTCTAAACCCTGTCTAAACCCGGTCTAAACCCGGTCTAAACCCTGTCTAAACCCGGTCTAAACCCTGTCTAAACCCGGTCTAAACCCTGTCTAAACCCGGTCTAAACCCGGTCTAAACCCTGTCTAAACCCGGTGTAAACCCGGTCTAAACCTGGTGTAAACCCGGTGTAAACCCGGTCTAAACCCGTCTAAACCCGGTCTAAACCCGGTGTAAACCCGGTAAACCCGGTCTAAACCCTGTCTAAACCCGGTCTAAACCCTGTCTAAACCCGGTCTAAACCCTGTCTAAACCCTGTCTAAACCCTGTCTAAACCCGGTCTAAACTCTGTCTAAACCCGGTCTAAACCCGGTCTAAACCCGGTCTAAACCCGGTGTAAACCCGGTCTAAACCCGGTGTAAACCCTGTCTAAACTCGGTCTAAACCCGGTGTAAACCCTGTGTAAACCCTAAACCCGGTAAACCCGGTCTAAAAACCCGTGTAAACCCGTACCTGTGTGTGTGAGGGGAGGGTGAGCTGCAGCAGGCTCAGGGGCACCGTCTGCTTGTGCCCTTTGACCCCGTCGTCCTTCTCGCGGGCGGCTCGGTCCTTCATCTTGACCCCGGTGTGGACGGACTGGTGCGCGAGTTTAATGTTTAACTTTGTTCCGTGACAAACGTGGCGGCGTGGCTTCCCGATTCCGCGAAAGACAGGACAAAACAGATAAAAAGGAGAAAACTAAAGACTAAAAGACTAAACTTAATTGTAACACTTTATTATTTTATTTTATGTGTTAAGACTAGTGAGATGTGCAATGGATGTAATGTAAACAGAAGAACCAGATTTGAGGAGGAGCTTGTGATAGATGACAGAAAACAACACAAATAGATCTGATTTAAAGATAATTATATTAATATTGTACAATGAATAACAAAAATTGTGGCAAAAGACCACACAATAACACAAATAAGACTTCTTTTTAAATGTCCTTTGCTTTGTTCTTTTGTCTGAACGCAAATCCTTGGTTTCTCTCAGTTTTTTACTTCGAAATCCTTTTTTTTTTTAAAGTTTCCTTGGGAACGCAAACGCAAAAAGTTCAATGCTTGTGGAGACGCAAACGCAAACGCAAATGTTCATTCCTTTGTTTGGAGATGCAAAACGAAACGCAAATGTTTATTCCTTTTGTTTTAAAAGTTCATAATCCAACTTAGGAGGAGAAGGGAGGAGGGGAAAAAAAACAATCCTACCAGGTCTGTAGGTTCAGATATAGCTCGCCACCTCTGGAGTAGAGGAATCATTGATTTTGGGAGGGGGAAAAAAAACCTGACCTATAAAACAGAGGTCACAGGAAAAAACCCATAAATAGTTTGACACAATTCATTATTCAATATTCAAATATACAAATTAGCTAATTTTATCATTTCATTCCATCAATTAATCAAACTTAATATTTCATAATTCATTGTTCATAAATCATATTTCAAACTTAATATTTCATTGTTCATGAATTCATAATTCACATTTCATAAATTATAATTCATAGTTCATAGTTATAGTTTATAGTTGCGCAACAATATAATAATAAAAAACTCCATAATTCATTCTTTTTACCCAAATGTGACTCAGTGCGTTGAGTGACAGGGCTGGCAGCCAATTAGATGAATGGAGCACACTCATTAGCCCTTATTAACTTAAAAAACTCGTAATCAAAATAATCAATCGAGCTTTCCTTCATACAGTTCATAAATTAATCTATCTACTTGAAGTAGACTTAAATAATATTACTTGATAATGCAATATTATAAAGTTTGGGACAACAAACAACTGAAAAGTTCGTCGCGGCAAATGCGGAAGTGCCGTTTTTATTTCATTAAACTTTTTTGAGGCTTCTTTCGTTACATCGGACAATGCGGTCTTGTAAATAAAGTCTTTAGTTGACTCACCATTGAGTTTGGCAATTTTCAGTTGTGATTTGATGAGTTTATTGAGCGGTGTTTCTGTCGTTTCTGCCAGTCCAAGCCGGAGCAGGAAGTGAGTGACAAGATGCCGCGGCGACATTTAAACACAGCGCCTCTTGTGGCAGAGCGAGTGAAATGATGGTATTGGATGGCAGAGTGATTGAATGGGCAGTATATGAGACGTGGGCTACAGGGTCCCCCCCTGACCTCATGTACGTCCCTGTACATGGGCTGATGGTTGGCCAGAGGACGAGATGTCGTGATCTGTCACTGCCAGAAACAGAGCCTTTCCAAGTCCTTCGAAGATCGTTTGCATGCTTTTCAGAATTGGCTGGCCCAATTGCTGATATTGAAATCTGTCTGGTGGTCGTCTGGTTCTAGTGGGACGTTGTTCTGTTTCGTCGACAGGTGATGACAAGTCAGAGTTAGGTTCGTGTAAGCTGCTGTCAATTTCAGGTTCAGGTTGAGCAGCCTCATCAATGTCATGCACCGGATCGGAATGTATAGACAGTTCTGGCAACAAAGCAGGTTCAGGGCTTCCTAGAGGTTCGTGTTCTAATGTTTCAGGTGGTTGCGGATCAAGATTTTCGGAACTGGTTGGAGCAAAGATTTCAGGTGAACTGGGAAGTGTCACAGTGGTAGAAAATCGAACTGGTTCAGTAACAGGTTCAGGGTACCATCTTGCAATCTGTTCATCGTCAGAGGAATGATCAATGTCAGAATCTTCAGGTGGTAAAGGAGGTGTTACAGGTTTTGCCACAGGCACAGGCTGTACATTGGAGGTAACAGGTATGCAGCCACAAGGTAAAAGCAAGTCTCGATGCAGAGTTCTTAGTGGCTTTTCTGCATCCTCAGGTTTCACAGTATAAACTGGTAAGTTGCCTGACTTCTTTACCACCACATACACCTGAGACTCCCATTTATCCGCGATTTTGTGTTTCCCCCTCAACTTGACATTTCGCACAAGAACACGATCCCCAACATCGAGTGTAGATGCTTTGATGTTTGTATCAAAACGTGTTTTGTTTTTTTTGCATGATTTTTTCTGCATTTTCAGCTGCCAGTTGGTAGCTCTTTTTCAATGTAGATTTCAGTTTTTGGACATATTCTGAGTGATTCAAGGAAGGTTTGATGACTGGTAAACCGAAAACAAGGTCTATTGGAAGTCGTGGTTGTCGACCAAACATTAACTCGTATGGTGTGAAGCCGGTGGTATCATTTTGTGTACAATTGTACGCATGGACAAGTGGCTTTACAAAGTCCTTCCAGTGGGTTTTTTCTTGTACTGTTAGGGTTCCGAGCATGTCAAGTAAAGTTCGATTAAATCTTTCAACTGGATTGCTGCGTGGGTGATATGGAGTTGTTCTGGTTTTGGTGATTCCAGCCAGTGTACAGAGTTCTTTGATTGTTTTGGATTCAAAATCTGGTCCTTGATCGCTGTGTATTTTTTCAGGGAAACCGTAATGTACAAAAAAATTGTCCCAGAGAGCTTTTGCAACTGTTTTAGCTTTTTGATTTGGGGTGGGTATGGCAAGGGCATATTTGGTGAAGTGATCAGTGATGACCAAAATATCTTTGACGTTGCTTTTGTCTGGTTCAAGAGTCAGGAAATCAATACAGATGAGTTCAAGGGGATGTGAGGTTTTGATGTTGATCAGTGGTGCAGCTTTCTGTGGCGGTGCTTTGCGTTTTACGCACCTTTCACACATCTTAACTTTGGCTTGGACATCATGAGCCATGCGAGGCCAGTAGAATCGGTTCCTCGCCAAATCCAAGGTTCGATCAATGCCCATGTGCCCCATCTTGTCATGCAAGTTGAAAAGAACATCCGTGCGACACTCCTGGGGTAGCACAAGTTGGTAATGTAGCTGGTCGCCAAGTTGCCTCCTTCGAACTAGGACATTATTTTGGAGCTCCAATCGATTTAGGTCCCGTAGAAGAAGTGGCAGCTCTGGTAACTGTTCTCTCTCAAGAGAGGGGGTGGTGATATGCCAGTTTCCAACTGTGATATGACGTGGCTCAGAATTGGGTCAGCACGTTGTTTTTTAGCCATCTCAGCTGGACTCAGCTGAGGAACCAGAGGTAAGGCAAACTGTTCGTCTTCAGAGTAACTGTCTGGAATACTGTTGGTGGACATGGACAAAGAATGGATAAGGGCGTAATCAGGAGCACTACAGACTAGCTGTCTCTCTGAAAGTGCTCGGACGGTACATTGGTCTATGTTTATGACATTAGGACTTTCAAGATGCTGCTCAGCGAATCGGAGTATTCTTTCCTTTTCTTTCTCTGATACAAAGTCTGCTTTGAGGTCACCATGAGGTCTGCGGGAAAGACCATCCGCATCCACATTTTGCCGGCCTGTCCGGTAAATGATTTTAAATGAGTAGGTGGACAGAGCAGACAACCAGCGATAGCCTGTAGCATCAAGTTTTGCCGAAGTGAGTAAGTAGGTTAAGGGATTGCTGTCGGTTACAATGGTGAAAGTAGTGCCATATAGATAGTCGCTGAATTTTTCTGTAACTGCCCACTTCAGGGCAAGAAATTCAAGCTTGTGGGCTGGATATTTGGACTCACTACGGGATAGGCCCCTGCTGGCATAAGCAATCACTCGTTCTTTTCCGTCTTGTTCTTGATATAATATGGCACCTAGTCCTGTTGAACTAGCATCTGTATGTAAAAGGTAAGGTTTTGATAGATCAGCAAAGGCGAGAACGGGTGCGGAGGTAAGTTTTTCTTTTATTGTTTCGAATGCTTGTTGACAGGAAGATGTCCAGCGGTTCCCCAATGGGTCTTTTGGATTGAAATAGTTTTCAGGTCTCACAAATGGCTTTTTTGTTTTCTGCGAAGGTGGGTATCCAGATGTTAGTTGGTGTAATGGTTGTACGATTTTGGAATATCCTTGAACAAATCTTCGGTAATAACCACAAAATCCGAGAAATGATCGCAATTCTTTCAGATTCTTTGGGACAGGCCATGATCTTAATGCCTGTAACTTTTCTGGATCTGTCTCAACCCCATTCTGGGACACAACATGTCCAAGGTAGCGTACGGAGTTCTGAAAGAAGGTGCACTTTTCAACAGAGAGCTTTAAGCCAAAATCCTTAAGGCGGTTAAGAACTCTCATGAGTCGCTCCTCATGTTGCTCCAAAGTAGGCGCAAAAACAATTAGGTCATCTATAAAGACGAGCACCTCTTTTAGATTCATTTCACCGACACACTTTTCCATCAAGCGCTGAAACGTAGACGGAGCATTGGTAACTCCTTGGGGCATCCGGTTAAATTCCCAGAACCCAAGTGGGCACACAAAAGCAGTTTTGCACTTATCCTGTTCTTCCATCTCTATCTGATAATATCCAGATTTTAAGTCCAAAACTGAGAACCACTGGGACCCTGAAAGTGCGGTGAACGTGTCCTCAAGCTTAGGAAGTGCATAAGCATCCTTTATGGTCTGTAAGTTGAGCTTCCGGTAATCTATACAGAGCCTGACGCTTCCGTTCTTTTTTCTTACCACCACAATGGGTGAAGCAAAAGGTGAGTCGGATTCTCTGATGACTTTAGAATCAAACAACTCTTGAAGATGTTGCCGAACTGCGTCAAGATCTTGTGGGTGTATGGGTCGTGGTCTCTGTTTAAACGGTGTGGGGTCAGTAAGCTTTATTTGATGCTTTACCCTGTCAGTTCTGCCAAAATCCAAGTCATGTTTAGCAAAGACCTCAGGGATGCTATTGAGTTTATTGATGATTCTGGCTTTCCATTCAGGTGTGTGAGTGCAGGGTTGTCCAACTTATAATCAAACAACGGTGTAGGTGAGGTGTTTGTCGTTTGTGAGTTGGTTTGGATGGCACAAGCAGTTGACTGGAAAACACTGATTTCGGCAAGCAAAGCACGAGGAGGTAAGGTAACATCATGGTTGGATTCATTTGTGACAGGAACTGGCAAGAAAACGGGGTGCTGCTGGGTTGGAAAATCAACAAGACAAGTCTGGATCATTAGACCACCAGGTAAGTAAAAGGATGTAGGGTGTTCAATCATTACTGCTTTTTCATTAGTGATTAAGTGTGACACAGCAATGCCTTCTAACACCATGGTCTGCCCGGCAGGTACCGTTTGTGCAGTGTGGCTATGAAGTTTCACCAGTCCATGATGTTCTTTCTGATTGGATTTGTGTGTCTTTGTTCTAAAATATTGAGTACAGTGCGGTAACCAAAAGGAACAGGTCGAAAACCAGGACTTTGTTGGCTATGGACAGCATAGACAATGTCCAAAGTGTTAGTTCCAATGAGAACAAGGGACTGATGAGAGGGTTTAAGATCTGGCACCACCAAAGCTAAAGTGGAAATGTCAATGGGCGTGCCCAGGAAATCTGGCGGAAAGGTAATGTCCAAGTTAATATAGCCCAGATAAGGGACTGATGAGCCATTAGCTCCCTCCACTTCAAGGAGTTCATCCAGAGGTCTGAGTGTGTGCTCTGATAAAAATGTATTGTAGATAGACTCTGGTATTGTGGTGACCTGTGATCCTGTATCCAGTAGACAGTTAAATGGAGTATTTTTGATAGTGACACGAGCTGTACATTTTGTTCCAACAAGCCCTCGTGGCAGGGATATGAAATGTTTCTGAGTTCCAAAATTGGGACACTTTGTGAAAGCAGCCTCTGCTTGCCCCACAGGAGAGACTGAGTTTAGTTTAACAATTTCTGTTTATTATTTTGATCCCATTGTGCCTGTTTTTGAGCCAACTTAGCTTTCTTTTGCTGTACAAGTGCTGGATTAGGGGGTTTGTTGCAATTTGAAACAATGTGTCCATCCTCACCACACTTATAACAGAATCCAGGTCTTGGACGGCTGTTTGTATTTTGAGTTTTTCCAAGTGTATTGTATTCTTTGCCGTAAGTATTTTTGGATTTCTGATTTGTTTGAGCAAGAAGTGTTGCCATCTGCTTTTGCAACATGTCCATTTGTTTCTTGAGTTGTGTGAGAGAGATAGTATCTGGATCGTTACTATGGCTGTAGGGACAAGCACCTTGAGAGAGAAGGGTGGCACGCTGCTTGGAACCAATGTGTTTTTTCATCAGACCTTCTTTTGTTGACTGCCTATCCTCTTCGGTTCTCAACAGATAAAGCAGTTCAGAGAAAGGTGGTGGTCGTTCTTTCTTTTGTTCCAGCTGCAGCTTATTGATAATGCCATTGTCCCAGCACCCTCTACAGAACTGTTTCAATAAATATTTGTCAACATCAGCTGCTGTGACACCACCACGCTGGACAACTGTATTCAAAGTTAACAGCAACCGCTGCAGATAGCTGGAAGGTTTTTCTCCAGGATCTTGCAGAGTATTCAAAAACTGTGCGAATAATTCCTCCCCATCCTGCACTGTGGAATATGCTGAATCCAATATTCGCAGATAGAGTGAAGGCAGGGCATCAGGTTTCAACCCTTTGACAACGTCGGCTGCTGGGGATAAGAGGCTCTCCAAAATTTTCCGGGTAACATGAAGTGGAGGTAGATTCACATCCGCCAGTAACAGTTCTACATGTGCTCTCCATGTTTCATAATCACTTTCATGTGGGGGTTTTGGTATCTTGCCTGAGAAAGAGCGGAGTTTTAAGGTGGGCATAGAGAGTGATGCACATTCTTCAGTTTTTAATACATGCTCCACAACCATTTTTTGAATTTGAGGTGGATTTATGTCTGCTTCAGAAAGTCTGAGTGGAATTTGATGTTTAAACTCCCCCTGCTGGCCAGGCAAGGGAGGTTCAGGTTCCACTCTTTGTGCAATTTCCTCTCCACCAGTTGCAGTATCCAAGTGCTCACTTATTTGTGACATGAGATCTTGAAGCACAATTTCAAATTTTTGTCCACTCCGTCGTGCAAGCTGTTTGATTTCATCCATGTAGTTGAGGGGTGGGGTTTCAGTTGTTGCTGTGTTTTCAATCGTTGTAACATAATACGTGTGATTTGGATCACTTTCAGAAGTGTGTGTGTATATGGGAGTATTTTCTTTAATTCTGCCATAGCAGAACTACTCTTAAACTCAATGACCAGGTTTTTAGCAAGGGGGTGAGTTATGTCAGTTACTTCTATTATTTTGTATTTACCATACTTTTTCAGAATATCTAGTATTTCATTATCTTTTGATGAATGTGTAATACCAGAAACACTCACAGAATTATTGACATTAACCCCCCGACTTCTCAAAAAATTCCATAATTGCAGTTTTTCCCCAAAACGTTAAACTGTAATACTGTCAATCAACACAAGCTCCTGGCTAGCTCGCCAAATGTAACACTTTATTATTTTATTTTATGTGTTAAGACTAGTGAGATGTGCAATGGATGTAATGTAAACAGAAGAACCAGATTTGAGGAGGAGCTTGTGATAGATGACAGAAAACAACACAAATAGATCTGATTTAAAGATAATTATATTAATATTGTACAATGAATAACAAAAATTGTGGCAAAAGACCACACAATAACACAAATAAGACTTCTTTTTAAATGTCCTTTGCTTTGTTCTTTTGTCTGAACGCAAATCCTTGGTTTCTCTCAGTTTTTTACTTCGAAATCCTTTTTTTTTTTAAAGTTTCCTTGGGAACGCAAACGCAAAAAGTTCAATGCTTGTGGAGACGCAAACGCAAACGCAAATGTTCATTCCTTTGTTTGGAGATGCAAAACGAAACGCAAATGTTTATTCCTTTTGTTTTAAAAGTTCATAATCCAACTTAGGAGGAGAAGGGAGGAGGGGAAAAAAAACAATCCTACCAGGTCTGTAGGTTCAGATATAGCTCGCCACCTCTGGAGTAGAGGAATCATTGATTTTGGGAGGGGGAAAAAAAAACCTGACCTATAAAACAGAGGTCACAGGAAAAAACCCATAAATAGTTTGACACAATTCATTATTCAATATTCAAATATACAAATTAGTTAATTTTATCATTTCATTCCATCAATTAATCAAACTTAATATTTCATAATTCATTGTTCATAAATCATATTTCAAACTTAATATTTCATTGTTCATGAATTCATAATTCACATTTCATAAATTATAATTCATAGTTCATAGTTTATAGTTGCGCAACAATATATAATAATAAAAACTCCATAATTCATTCTTTTTACCCAAATGTGACTCAGTGCGTTGAGTGACAGGGCTGGCAGCCAATTAGATGAATGGAGCACACTCATTAGCCCTTATTAACTTAAAAAACTCGTAATCAAAATAATCAATCGAGCTTTCCTTCATACAGTTCATAAATTAATCTATCTACTTGAAGTAGACTTAAATAATATTACTTGATAATGCAATATTATAAAGTTTGGGACAACAAACAACTGAAAAGTTCGTCGCGGCAAATGCGGAAGTGCCGTTTTTATTTCATTAAACTTTTTTGAGGCTTCTTTCGTTACATCGGACAATGCGGTCTTGTAAATAAAGTCTTTAGTTGACTCACCATTGAGTTTGGCAATTTTCAGTTGTGATTTGATGAGTTTATTGAGCGGTGTTTCTGTCGTTTCTGCCAGTCCAAGCCGGAGCAGGAAGTGAGTGACAAGATGCCGCGGCGACATTTAAACACAGCGCCTCTTGTGGCAGAGCGAGTGAAATGATGGTATTGGATGGCAGAGTGATTGAATGGGCAGTATATGAGACGTGGGCACACCTTACAAAAAGCATAAAAATAACAGACACAGGAGTACAAAAGTGGCTGAATTTGAGTTAAATCAGAGTGTTAAAAACCAAATTGCGTAAACAATACTACTTCTCACCATGGGATTATTCCTGGGAGAGAGTTTTGGTGAGGCCAGAAATGATATTGTAAAGAGGCAGCAAGAACCTTATTAAAATAGATACTGGTGCCAATGCAACAGCCATACCTGAGCAGGAATATGAAACTGTTATGCATGGAGATAAAGAGCTAAACAGAGCCCTCAAACAACTTTACGGTCCTAGTGGTGCGAAACTGAAAGTCGTGGGGTCAGCCACCGAAACACTCACATACAAAGAGAGAAGAATCAGAGAAAATCTACTGTACATCATCAAACATCTGCACATGGGTCTATTGAGCAGACCAGCTTCGGTGAGGCTTAAACTGACACCTAGGGTTGACATTAAGTACCAAGAGACAGTAAGGACGACCTCGCCTAAGCTCTGTGACAGACTTGTGCTGGTCCACAAACCCTACACTATAAAACTCAAGCCAGATGCCAAACCTTACTCTCTTAAAGTTCCACTGCGAGTACCATTGCCACTCATGGGCAAGGTGATGCAGGAGTTGGAGAGGCTTGACAAGCTTACGGCTCATCAGCCGTATTGAGGCACCAATGGAGTGGTCCTAAAAAGAACAATGATGACATCTGTTACTGCCCCAGGCCTTAGTTCTAATTTGTTTGTGTGATTTTTGCCAACTTCTTGTGATTCCGCTGCAGGAGCCCTGGTCCGTGATTGGTGGGGCAAGTCTACGCCCACCTCACCTGCAGCCACCGCCCCCCCTATTTAAGGAGATTACCAGCACCTGCTCGGGCTGCTGGCCTTGGTGGCCAGTATGCCCATTTTGGTTTTGTTTGTGTTTAGTTTAATTCTGTTTTGTGCCTTTTTTGATTTGGTCACTTGATTCTGTTTGTGGGCTTATGTGGTTTAATTTGGGGAACTTCTGTTTTGGTTTTGTGTGTGTCCCTTAATTTTACCACTCGTTTTTTGTAAGCCTGCGTGACCCCTTTTGTGGCACAAAACTCTATTCTGTTGTTCTGTTTCTTAGTTTAGGTTGTTTTCTGTATATTTTAGTCTGTTTTGTTAATTTACCTTTTACCTTCCTGTTAATTAAACATTATTTAATTTATTCCATTTTACATCTTGGTTTTATTTTTGTTACTTCCCTCACCCCAAATGAGCTGGGTCGTAATACATCAGAATCTGTGTGGGCATGACGCGTTTGAACCAGTAAGTGTGCCGGGAAAAGTTAATTTTGCCGTCTGTTGAAAAAACCCTGGCATACTCACAGGGGTACAGTACTTCACAAAACTCGACGCAAACATGGGCTTTTGGCAGATACCACTGTCTAAAGACTCAGCTTTTTACATCACTTTTATCACGCCATTTGGGCATTGTCGCTTCAACAGGCTTCCCTTTGGAATGGGCTCTGCCCCAGAGCACTTCCAGAATAGGATGACATCAGAGGTCACAGCAGTGGCTGGATGGGGTTGTCTGCCATGTACACGACATCCTTTTCTGGGGAGCGACAAAGAAGCAGCACAACACCAGCGTGCTTGCAGTTCTGGAGCGAGCAGAAAAGGCAGGTGTCAAAGTGCGAGTTTGGGAGATGAGCGGTGAAGTTTTTAGGACATATCATCTCAGCAGATGGGGTGAAACACATGGGACAAAACAAAAGCTGTTCAAGACCTGAAAAAGCCAACAAATATAGTGAGCTGAGAACTTCCTTGGGATGGTGAACCAGCTTGGAAAGTTAATCTCAAACCTGTCTGAGAATGACAAACTGCTAAGAGAACTCCTGTCTAAGAAGAACATGTGGTTCTGCGGTCACGACCAGCAAAGGGCGTTCTGCAGTCCCAAAGACGAACTCACCTCTGCGCCAGTTCTCCAACTGAAACACACAACACTTACATAACACTATTAGATGCTATCTATGTTGCAGCAGTGTCATAGTTCGCCAGCTTTGGCCTAACAGAAGAAGACCAGAGGGCACAGAGTGTCCGCCACCTATTCTGATATCGTCTTTATTTAGACGTGCCAGTTTTCCGACACGTTTTAGTATCACTATTCCCACATGGTGTTCTCTCCGTAGATCGCCTACTTGATGAAATGAATGAAGCACAGAGGGCCTATGCAGCCCAAATTAGATATTTTCTGTGGTATTCTCTGAAGTATTCTCTGAAAGTATTCTTTGCAGCAGTTAAAGCATCTTATGATATATGAGAGTGCAAAGTATAAAAGGCTATCACATTAATATTATTCATGTTGGAAAAGTGGAATGTTTGAAAAATAGTCAAGTCCCGCTACTCTGACAATGAAAAAAAAAAAAAAGTCGAAGTAGTGGGATGCTTGAAGAATAATGTTTATACCGCTGCTTTCAACATTTAGACATCAATGTTTAAATGCGCTTTAGACATTTAGACATCAATGTTTAAATGCGCTTTAGACATTTAGACATCAATGTTTAAATGTCTAAAGCGCAGTGGTGGGCCGACAGGGTCTGCAAGGCCTTCTCTGCTGGCCTAAAAAAAACCTGTTAATTATATTATTATTAAATGATTCCAAATGATCTGTCTGCTTCCTTTCAGAGCTTTTCCGATACTTCTGTTGCTTCCAGACATGTATTTTCATGTTGAAGCAATTGACCATCATATTTTCAGCCATCATTTGTTGCCAGGCAGAGTCAGCGTCAAAGAAGTGTGCCTGCGGCCTTCACAATCCATTCTGCAGGCCCTCAAACACAAAATAAATGTTCATGAATCTGTTGCTTCAACCAATTAGATTTTGAGTTGGTGTCATCAGGGCCTTCTAGTAGGCGTACGACAACATCATCGGATTCAGACCCGTTGATTGGAGAGTCAGAGCATTCCAGCCAAAGCAGCAAACTGCATCTGTAGCGGCTACGCGAATCGAAATTATTATTACTGTGTATTACTGTTCTTAATTACCAGTGATGTAGTGGGATTTTTTTAAGTGGGGGTACGCGATTCATGACTGATCCAGGAAGACGGAACCAGGAATAAACTAGGTCTAAACCAGGACTACACCAGGTCTAAACCAGGACTAATCCAGGACTAATTTTGGACTTGAGAGAGAGAGAACCCTGAGCTCGTGGAGCAGGGTGTCCACAAAGTCCGATCAGGCGACGGCTGTGCTGAGCCCCGTGCGGCACAGAGCTCTACGCCGGTCCTTTCCAGTGTGGTCAACTGACAGTCTACACGGGCGCAAGTCCGGGCCCATCCCCACACTCTGTCATGGTTAGACCTGTTTTAGTCCTGGTTCGGTCCTGGTTCAGTCCTGGTTCAGTCCTGGACCCTCATGTTGCAGGTCACTATAGGACAGTCCTGGAGATATCAGTGTTTCCCGCATCACTTTATACTTAAGACGACAATGTGGCCCCTGCCTTGACTCGTCCTTCTGAACCACGTGAATCCTCACAAAACTATGGTCATAGCACAGAATCTTCGCTGCGCACGCGCTCCTTCACCCTCCTCTCCTCACTTCTTCTCTTACTTTACTCTCATGGCTCTTTATACTGTATTTCTGTATAATAAGATGGCTTTTATAACCATAAAATAGT